TTCTCGATAAATATGGGGCCAGAAACTTGGACCGTGAAGCCGAATGTAATGGACAACAGAAGATTATATGATATAACGATTCTATAGATCCGCTTTTACAGTCACAGAGGAGTGAGATCTGTCCGTTGGAGAGTCTGTTACCCAACACGTTTGATGGGAAAGCATTGAATCTAGCCATTATAAAGGCATACCTGTGCGTCACCACAGATAAGGTAGTTAAGTAAGATGGAAGTTTCGTTGGTGGTGTTAAGCCAAGGTTTATCGGCGAACAGGTGCCACCACCTGTCGCAATATTAAATTGTAAATCCATCTCCTCTAATTTGTGAGTTATAATTCTTTTGGCCGAAATTAAATCCAATTTTAATAGTTCAGATGGAGATAGTCCTAGGGACACAAGTTTCCCATGTATTATTTTTGCCCAGGGGCTAGGGAAGTCATCTCTCCAGAGGCACTGTATCAAGTGGAGATTTGGAAGTTTATGCCATAAAGCCAACCAATAACAGAGGATGCATTTCCATAATGTGGTTTCTAGAGATGTAACATTTAGTTCCAGTCGTATAGCAGTATTGCTTACACACCTGGGTAATTTTAACAACCTTCTTAAAAGCTGGTTTTGGATTACCTCCAAATGGGTTAGATTAGCAAAGGACCCCCATAATGGGACTGCATATGCTATTGTTGCAATCACCTTTGCCTTGAAAACTTTTAACACTGATGGAATATGGAAAGCCCCATCTGAAAAGAAAAACGCAATAGCGCATAGGAAAGGGCTTTAGCTCTGTTTAATACATATGCAACATGGACCTTCCAGCCCATGTTGTGTTGGAGAAAGACTCCCAAGTACTGAAATTTAAAGACTTGGTCAATAGCTTTTCCGTCTATTCTCCAATTATAGGTTTTTCGACTCTTGGTGAAAATTAGGACTTTGGACTTAACATGGTTAATTGTAAGAAAATTTGATTTGCAGTAAACATCGAAGATTTTTAATGCCCTCCTAAGGCCGACTCTTGAAAAGGATAGGATCACTGCGTCGTCTGCGTAGAGTAGAAGGGGGCAACGATATTGGGCAAGACGGGGGGCGTGGATCGTTTCTTGAGCCTCTATCAGAGGCGCCCTCATATCACTTATAAATAGATTAAAAAGGGTCGGAGCAAGGATACATCCTTGGCGAACACCTCTATTGATAACTACTGAGTTTGAGAGGTCGCCTGCCGGAGTGATTCTCACCCTAGCGGCCGATCCGTCATGCAATTTAGTTATTAGCCACAAAAGTCTTTTGTCTATTCCCCATCGGGCTAATTTTCCCCAAAGCAATCCTCTGGGGATGCTGTCAAAAGCGGCCTTTAAATCAATAAAGGCCGCACAAAGTTGGCCTCTATTTGGGGAGGAGTATTTCCGGGCAAGGTGGTATAGAATTAAGACCTGATCAACCGCTGACTGATTCGGTCTAAAACCAGCCTGTTCAGGCCCAATCAGGTTGTTCTCTTCGGCCCACTTAGTAAGCTTAGTTAACAAGAACCGTGCATATATTTTCCCAATTGATGACAATAAACTGATATTCCTGTAATTTCCCGGGTCATCTGTCGAGCCTTTTTTATGAATTGGAACAATAATTGCATCCTTCCATATTCTTGGTACCTTCCCACTGTTGTTTACGGCATCAAAGATAGCGGCCAGGATTTTCGCCCACCAGTCTGCATGAAGTTTTATAGCTTCCGCCGGGACTAGATCAGGACCGGGGCTTTTCCGATTTTAAGATTAGAAATAAGTCCGTGGATTTCTTCCGGGTCAGTGGGTGGCCAAAGAGGGAGCTGCTCATAGACTCCATCGATTGTATTAATATTAAGGTCTGGTAAGGCAAAATAATTCCTTAGAAAGGATTCCCAAATTGGGGCAGGAATAACTGTTAAGGGGTATCTTTTAGATTTTCTGTTAACCAACAGCCAGAATTTTCGGGAATTACGGGTACTTGAGGCAGCTATAAGTGCTTGCCAGCGGTTCAATTGCCATTCCTGTTTGGCCTTTTTCTGCACATATTTGTAAGCTGATTTTGCCTGATAGTACTCCTTGGGAAGCGTAATCGCCCCTGAGGATTTGTAATCATTATAAATAGCACAAAGGTGTTGTTTGGCTTGTTTGCAATTACGGTTAAACCACGGTGCACCTGTCTTGGGGTGGGCCCAATTTGCCTGGTGGGTTGGGACAGAAAAGAATGACGTGAGGTCATTCAACAGATTGGCAAATAGATTAATAGTTTGATCGTGATCATATGAAGTTATGCCAAGGGCTGAATAGGTTTGTATGATCTCCTGCTGAAAAATTCAGAATATTTTTGAGCCTGCGTTACAGACCACTTTGTACCCTTCACTCGTAATGCCGTATTAATACCCTCTACCGGGTTTTCTGCATTAGTATCTAATTGAGTTAGATGACCGTGCTCGTCCCCGTGCCGGTCTAGGTCAAACGTAGCAGCAAGTGGAAGGTGATCACTATAGTGAATATTGCCAATCTTAAAAGAGAGAGCTTTCGAAATCAGGTCACTCGAGGCTAAAAGGTAATCTAGTACACTGTTTGATTTTATGCCTAGGTGGGTATACTCCCCGGTATATCAGGAGGGCAGCAGCCATTCAGGGGTTCTAAGTTTAAGCGAATAGCCATCTGGTAAAGAAGTACTCCAGCCTCGTTTACTTTAGAGTCTTTTGAGGCTCTCCCTAAGGCATGTCTCAAATCATAATTGTCAAGGAATGGAGCAGTCCACCATTTAGCTTTAGTTAAATCAGCCCAATTTGCTGCTATACGTGCGTTGAAGTCACCACCAATTAAGGATTGGCTATTGGCATATTTGACTCGGCATGATACTAAATGATCTTCTAATATTTCCCATCTATCATGCAGTTCAAGGGACGAACTCCCTGGCGGGAGGTAGACATTAGAGATTAGCAGTGATACTTTTCCCCGACATCAACCCGGATAAAGCATAAGGGGAGCAGTCAAAACTAGTGAAAATTTGAAATGCAGCTTCAGTGAGATACCTATTACTAGACCACCTTTCGGCCGTCCTCCTTTCTGAGAGGGATAAGCTGGAAGGGATAATAGGTCGAATCCGTTTATGACAATTTCACCCTCCTCCCAAGTTTCTTGCAATAGAATGATATGAAATGAGTTGATATACGACTGGAATTCTGGGTCACATTTTTTCCTACGCCAGCCAGCTATGTTCCAACAGAGGATCGATATTGGTGGTTTTCTGGATTGTCCGGCTAACCGTCATTTAAATTCTTGTGGGGGGCTCTTATGCGACCAGGACGCTCCCTTAAAGAAGTCCGTTATTTTCCTTTGCTGAAAGTTGTCGTCCTGGTGTGGTGAGTCTTTTGCCCTGGTGTGCACCGGTTGTGGGGAGTCTTTTGCTCTAGTGCGAGCCGGTTGTGGCATGATCGACTCACGAGGGCCAGAATTTTTGGGGGGCAGAAGAGAGTTAGCATCCTGGTGGGTAGGGATAATATTTGGCGTTTTTAGCTGTCGGGCCCAACTAGGCTCTGAAGAGGCTCCTGCCAAGTCCGCTGGAGCCGTCCTCTTTGGGGATCTAACCGATACACTTGTGATCATTTGATTTATATGTCCTGCTGGGTCTTCAGTCCACTCTGTGGTGACTCTCGACACTGTAGTGTCTTCCTCACGTACTTGTTGGATTTTTGGTGGACAAGAGAGCGCTGGAAAAGCCTGACTTGGAGTGGCCACTGTCGTTTCTGGTAGTTCTGCTTCTCTGCAATTCATTTTTGCATTTCTGGTGTTTTGGCTTGGTTTAGGGGGATTATCAAATCTCATAAAATTTAAGAAATACCACGAGAAACACAAAAACCAATAAATATTCCCAAAATGTAGCAATACCAGAAGAAACATGAAAAACAAGCCAGATCAAGGGAAAAGAAACAATTCACCAAAAACCCCAGAACCAATCAAAGTAAAAGAAGCAAAACAACAAAATGCAAGAAACAAGCAAAACCACCCTAAATTAAGCAAATCAGCAGAAACCAAAAGAAGCAGCAAAGCCACAAGAAACTGGAAACAAATATAAAAAGACAATCAGAAACCCAACAAGCAGGCAACTTATGGGAGTCCAAAATCACTACAAACCCCGAAATTAACCAACACTTAGCATATTCGTTTTCACTGGTTCATGGGTTTCTGGTGAATGTGCCTCATTTGGGGTTCGTCTTCTGCTGGTTTCATTTCTTTTCCATTGGTTTGCCTTGTTTTTTGCCCCTTTGCTTTATTGCTTCTTTTGAGAAGTTTTATTGTTTTTGCATTCTGGTGGTAATACTCATTAGACATTTCTGGTAGTTTTGTTTCATTTTGGGTGGTTTCCCTTTTTTCTTGGGATTATCAAATCTCGTAAAAATGAATCACGCTGGTATGCTTTAGAACTGCTAGGCTGGCAGGAGCTGGGACAAAGCAACGGGGGCCCAAGAGGCTTAGTGGTTTAAACCAGAGGGCCACCCACATCCCAAGATAAAGAGGTACTGCGGCGGCGGGAAGGTAAACGGCATTTCCGTTCGCTCTGGCACTCATCACAGTGTTGCATGTGCCAGAAGTAGTTTACTCATGCTGGTCACATGACCCGGAAAAGCTGTCTGCAGACAAAGACCGGCTCTCTCGGCCTGAAAGCGGAGATGAGTGCCGCACTCTAGTCAAATTTGACTGGACTTAACCATCCAGGGGTCCTTTACTTAACACAAAGGGCTGATTTATTTTACTTGCTCAGGCTGAGTTTATGTCTTTAGTCTGAATCACATACAAAAAATAATTGACAGTGAACAGCTAAACTAAACTGACTTGAGGATTTTTGTTTGTTTTTGTTTGTTTGTTTTTAAGCTGCTAGTTGAAGACCCCCCTCAGGGAGCCCTAGTATAGCATTTCATCTCCAAACTGGCCTTCTTCATCATTACAAGAGAAATGAACTGGAGAAACACCATCATAATCTCTTAAGGAAACACGTTAGGATGATTCTCAAGTAAAAAAACCTTATGTAAGTCTTGTATGGGTTTCAAATGTTCCTGCCTTGTTAACTTTAACAATGCTTTATTTTTCTACAGTTCTGACCTTTGTGATGAGACAACCACATCCACCTTCCTTGATTATTACACAGCCTATCTAAGAATGGCTGCTTCAGACATTTGTCTGCTGCAGAGGCAAATTCCGATGGCTCTGTCCTTGCTCCTCGCCCTGGTCTATCTCACCACCATCAGGCCGGCTGCTGTTGCCAAGGAACTGCATAGGACATGTGAAGAAATACAGGAATTGCAAGGAGTTCAAGATGCAAGTGCAGTTGCGGGGAGAGTTTTTTCTTATCCCATATCACCATTTGCTTTCCAAGGGAAAATAACTCACTACAAGGTAATGTAGCATTGCTGGCAATAATTCTGTCTGGTACCAGTCACAGTATTGAAATGGTTTTGTTCAGTTGTAAAATATGCTGCAGGAAAACAGCAGGGCATGGATGCCCTTTAAAGAGGGAAACGGGAGTTATTTCCCCCTGTATGTGTATACCACAGGAACACCTATATTTTTGGTCAACCTGTTGGTTATGCACAGTGAATTAGTATTGTTCTAATTAATTCAATGGTTGTTTTGTGTCAATAACACCAATGTAGTTTTTATGAGGTATAAATACAAAATTATAACTGCTTCTAAAATATGCAGCTTTTTAGCAATTATCAGCATGATTCTTATCTCACGAATGCATACTTGGAAATAAAGCCCACAGTGTTCACTGAGGCTCGCTTCCTTATAAGTATCTTAATTATATCTAAGAGTGTTCCTTTACATCTTGCTGAGAAACTTCCACTCCCGTGTGTAAAATCTGAAATGGCAGCCCTGCAACACAGGTTGCTTCAGGTTAGTTGTCTAAACAACCACATTTTAAGGTGGAACTAGATGTGGTAACTCTGACTTCTGATGAGGAAGCACCTGACTTCTGCTGGTGCTTTTTTTAAGCAAAACTGGTAGAGTTTGAAAACTGTAAAATGGTGGGGGAAGCATTTGAAATCAACTCATATTCTTCCCTTTATGACTATTTGATGGTCTGCTCACAATACATCTAGTTTGGCCGTGAACAACTCTAGTTGTTCAGAGTATTATGGGGACTGGGCAATCTTCCTTTGTTCTAGAAATTGCTTGTTATTGACCAGAATGACTGGTAGGTGTTTTCTGAATGGGAGCTAATGAGTAGGAAATAGCTGGCTGTGAAAGACCAGTATTAGTTGTCCTGCTGTAGTGTGAAAATCAGGATTCGCCCATCACCATCCACTTGTTCAGACAGTCATCTGCAGGTCCATACACCAGGAAAATTAAGAGAGTACCCAATATATATTTTTTACATCTTACGAATCTGAAACAAACATCCCTGTTGCATCTAATATGATGACTGTGGAAACAATATATTTTTTATTATTCATTATTTTGATTATACTACATTCCATCTCCTGTGCCCACATCTTTTTTATAATTAAACAGGTTACTCTGGCTAGTGGTTCAGCTTTACCAATGTGGTTGGAATATAACCCTAACACAAATACTCTTCAAGGACTGCCAATGATGGAGGAGAGTGGAGAATACCATCTAACTATAGTTGCATATGGAGAGTCTTGTGGCTGGAAAACACCAACAGCTGGTGCAAACTTTGCAATTCATGTTCACAACGATGCTCTTGTCCATGAAAAGGAAGTGGTCACAGACCAACAGCATAACAGGTAAGTTGCAGTGATTTCCAAAAAGGAATGTATTTGATTAAATTGATCATTATTTCATTTATTCTGAACTATGTGCAAACATATGTGTGTGTAACATATTCAGAACAAAGTTGGAAAAAGACACAGGTTGGATTCAAGGTTCCATCAGCAAAACAAGGCCCTCTTAGGTCTCAGCTCCTCCTTCTCCCTGCAGCCCCCTATACCTGCCATCTGCTCTGGAGGGTTGGGAGACCCTCTGAAAGAGTGAGAAGCAGCACAGATGACTGCAGAAAACCAGGGGGGAAATAAATCCCCTCCCTTCACTTCTGTTCAGAGAACCTCTGCTAGATCCAAGCCCTTTCCTCAAACAGAAAGACACATTTCATATAGTTATTAAATAATATTAGAGATAAAATAAGTACCCTTGGCATCCCTTAGAATAACTGCCAGGGGGTGAAAAGCACTCTGCCAGCTGACTAGGAGTGCCTTTTCCAGCTTGGGTTGTTTGTGGACCAGGATAACTTGACCACAGTAGTCCAGGCACTGGTAACTTCAAGTTTAGATTACTGAAATGCAGTAATTACTGCAATGGAGCTTCTCTTGCAATTGGTTCAGAAACTGCAGTTAGTGCAGAGTGCTGCTACACGACTGCTGCAGGAATAAGACAAGAGCATATTTACACCTCTGCACAGAGGTCTACACTGGCTGCTGATCTGTTCCCAGCCCAAGTTCCGGGGTTTTCTATTGGTCCCTAAAGCCCTTAACAGCTTGGGGACAGTTTGCTTGAATGATTCCCTTGCCCTTTATGTACCTACTCAACCACTTTGATCTACAGAGCTTGCATTATTACAAGTGCCGTATAATAATCATTCCACAGTGTTGTAAGGAGTCAGTTTTTCAGTATGACAGCACCTATGCCTAATAACTCCCTGCCTATTAACATTAGGCAGGGACCCTCACTATATTAATTTAGACACCCACTACAAACTTTATTTCAACAAGCCTATTCAGATAGATAATCTACCATTCAATTTTACATATCGCTGACTTGATCTGCCTATTTTGCTTTACGTATACTGTACTGTTCAGAGATTTATTATTATGCTATTTATATGTTTTTTTCTAAATAAGTAAGATAACCCTTTTTAATGCCAAATTATTTTAATAGCACATGTTTTGGGGCTTTCAGTATCTGTTCTGCAGCTCTGTGTGAAAGGGGAATGTCGGTCACCTTTGCTGAGATTATAATTCATACAGAAAATTATTTAGAAATTCAAAAGCGACTAGATCTAGTTTGCACCATGGCAGACTATCTCCATTTGCATCCCTCTTCATTGACATTTGCTTCATTTGAAAGCCCATTTAATAAACACTATTGGAATCTAACCATATTAGCTGAAGACATTCAATACCTCAACACTATGAAAAAGCATTGTGTTGGAATCCACTGGCCAGTTGGGTTTGGAGTGTTCACTATGCTTTATGAATTAGTACAAATTCTACAACACAATGTGGTGTCAAACCATCTCTCACAGCTGCTGGGGTATGAAATTGCTGGCTGGAGAATACTTAAAAAAGAAGGCAATAGAAAAAATCATTTAGGAAAGCGGCAGAGGAGGCAATTAATGGCCACCCCTGGACTCGTACTGAGACCAACCAAAATAGAGTCTTTAACAATTTTGTCAACTACTATGGTATACACACAGTCTGCTATAATACCTAGTGAAAGTTCATCACTTTTGTATGAAGCTGTAAAAGAAGTTATCCCCACTTACATGGATGCCTTGGGGTCCATGGACATTCAAATGTTACTGAATGGTCAGATTAGAACACAAGTATCTGGCTTTTTCCAGTCGCTTTCTTCTGAACTTTCACCTTCTCTGATATCACCATCAACAGAATTTGAGGGTAAAGTGGCTTCCAGAACACCAACAATATTGGAGGAACTGCAGTCTCAAGTGCCACAACAAAATGTGTATTCTGTGCCTAAAAAATCCAAGCCAAAGCACAATTCCACACTCTATTTTTTAGATTTTTCTGTGCCAATGAGCAAAACCCAGATCTCAATACCTGCTCACAACATGGAAACTTCAGTTTCACCAGACGTAACTGCTTCTAGAACAGCATCTCTAGCATACTCAGAGGAATTAACAAGAAGCCTCGATTATACAGGCCCATATGCACAGCTAACAGCATCTGAATTACTATCTAAAGACACCATATATGTTGCAAATCTTCCTTTACCATCCATATCAATACTGATGAATTTAAGAGCATCATCTAGAGTCCTATTTTCCAGTGTTGTAGTTTCTTTGCTCTCATCAGATGGTAGCTACAAGATTCAAGACCTACTCAGCAACTACAAACATGTCTCAGAGTCATTTATGTCTTTACCACGAACTACAACACTGATTGATGTGCCCAGCAGGAATATAGGCTTCAGTTTGATTGGTATTACATCACTAGGCATAAGTGGTGCTTCCGTCCACAAATTTAGACTGCCGGTCAACACAAGTCCGTCTCAGTTCTATTACAGTAACAATGCTTCAGCTTTGGCAATGCATAGCAGTCAGCAATTCAGGATATCTCCATTTGTCCATTCACTAGAATTTGGATTTCTATCAAGAACAAGCAACACTCCAGCAATGGCTCCCTCTTTATCATTATCAACACCAGCAGAATTCCCTGTATCATTTGGACATAGTAATATGATACCAATGGGGGAAAATTTGTCTGAAAGGACACAGGTTAGCCAACAGGTAATTAAAATATACACACTTGCATCAGAGTCTTTTATGACTGTTCAAGAGACAGACAAACTTTTAATTTCAGAAACCAAACTATTAGCTCCTACCACATCCCAGATGGACACTCTCCTGTGGGAAACACAACATTTAATTTATGATGCATCATCCAGTGCTTCAGTTTCAAGCAGCAGATTCCATGAAGGTGATCCATCTTATAAAATGAGCCAATCATCAGAGTGTTATTCTTATGATGCTTTGCTGCCTACCTGGTCTACAGAATTTGCTGGCACCCCCAAGTTATCTTTTTCTACAGATGAAATTGGCTCTTATGACAGCAATGCTGTTAGAACTCACAAGCCATGCTTTGATGTTTTACAACTAGACACAAGTGATCTAAGCTTGGATAGCTCATTTGGAACCAAAATTAACTTGCAAATTACCAGGGACTTAACTTTAGAACTGTTGGAAAAGTCAACTATTACTTCCAATAAAGATATGTCCAAACAAACTGGATTCTATGTCACTACTTTATACCAAGGTAAGCTATTAATATTGGTGCGTCAAATTTTGATCCAATGTGAGTAACTCACACCAGGTTTCATTAGTATTGCTACTACTGCTACAACCTCAATTTATGTATATACCTCCTTTTGACCAAAAGCCCTCCCCCCCCATGACTAGCATAATAAAAGAACAAAATGTACAGTATAGTTTAATAAGTAAGCAAAAGACAATAAGCAAGCAAAATAATATGACAGCCAAATCACCATATAGAAGGGCGGTAAGAAGGAAGCGTTCCCAAGCTAAAGGGTTAAAAGGTACTTAGCTAAAAGGTACATTCTAGACTTAAAACTCTAGCAATGGGAAATATTCAGAAGTGTGCCCTAGTTCAAAGAATTAAGGGGCACTCACAACAACTCCCATTCTAACTAATTTTCAGGGGTTTGGCCCAAGTAATTAACAGTTATCCAATAACATTTTAAACAAACAAAAATAAAATAGGAATACTAGCAATATTAACAGTTGCCACAAAAAGGAGTAAGAGACCCACACCCCACCCCATGCTTTTTAGGTGAGTAAAGTCTCCCAATAGCCTAGGATAAATAGGGTGCAACTCTTGCCTTTGGGCCAACACAAGGTGAGGCCTCTCTCTCACACAGCGGCTGATTAGTCTCCATGTGTGGTACAAATGGGACCATTCCTCCTCAGCTGCTACACCTCAGGCCTTTCAGGGGGAATAGCTGTCAAGATGACACATAACACATAGGTTTACACAGAGATGCTAGGAGTTTCCATGAGTCACGACTATTTTTGACACTGAAGCTATTTTTTACCAGTTTAATGTGATTTTTAATTATGTTTAAATTGTTTTCATGGTTTTATTAAGTGTGTGCTTAATGCCCTGGCATACAAACAAGATGAGGAGCAGTAAATACACATCCATTCTCACGTCACCTCAGATGTTAACAAGTCACTCCCCATCATCTGTTGTATACTTTCAAATTATTTTACCCATTTCATGGCTGATTTGAACTTGTGGCAGCATTACTGTAATAAAACCAATTACCTTGAGTAAGCAAAAGCTTTCTTCTCTCAGTTCAAGTGAAATGCTTAGTTATGTTTGTTTCACATTTCTGTCAACTGTCTGTTGTCAGTTTACAATTCAGTCATACACTGAATTAACAGGGCAGCATTTTTTTCATATATTCCACATGTATTCCCCCCCAGCCCCCCCCCCTTCTCCATAATTTGAATTTTTTGGTAGGGGCTAGAACGATGATATTGTACAACAGTGTAAAGGGTGCAATGTGTGTTGAGCAGTGAGAAGCGGTTTGGAAACAAAAGGAAGCATGGAAGATTGTCACAAAACTCCTATAATTGTTATATGTTTTGTGAGTCTTTGGGCTTTAGTGGCCCTTAAACACCGAACAATCATCCAGCCCCCCCTCAAGCACAGCACCCAGGTGTCTGTCCCGTGATAGGTATAGGGATCCTAGTGAGAAGACTTCCTTCAAGGGAGAGCAAGGCTGCATACACGCCTATGTTTTAAAACACATGCCCCCCCCAAGAATCCTGGGAACTGTAGTTTACCCCTCACAGAGCTACAATTCCCAGAATCCTTAAGAAATTAGCTCCCAGGTTTCTTTGAGAGGACATCATATACTTCGAACATCACCTACTTTGCCTCTGTCTTCACTCAAAAGGAAAGCGATGCCCAACCTGGTGATAACAGAATAGATGAGGAGCTGTGGCCCCTAGCTACTTTAAGTGAATTCAAATCTCCAGGGCTGCATCCAAGGGTACTAAAGGAGTTGTGGATGTAACCTCAGTGCCTTTGTCCATGATCTTTGAGAATGTTGGAGAGCAGGTGAGGTCCCTGCAGGTTGGAGACAGGCAAATGTTGTCACCATCTTCGAAAATGTAACTACCGACTGGTGAACTTGACCAGGAAAGGTCCTAGAATAGATCATTCAACAATCGGTCTGTAAGCATTTAGAAAAGAATGCTGTGATTATTAAGACCCAGCATGGGTTTCTCAAAAATAACTCATGCCAGACCAATCTGATTTCTTTTTTTGATGGAATTACAAACTTGGTGGATATGGGGAATGCCGTGACTTCAGTAAGGCTTTTGGCAATGTCCTCCACAATATTCTCATGAGGAAGCTGGTAAAATGTGGGTTGAAGTATTAGGTGGATTTGTAGCTGGTTGACTGACCGAACACAAAAAGTATTCATTAATGGTTCCTCATCATCCTGGGAAAAAGTTACAAGGGGGTGCCACAGGGTTCTGTCCTGGGCCCATTGTTCAACATATTTACTTGGATGAAGAAATTGAGGTGATGCTAATCAAATTTGCAGATGACAGAAACTGGGAAGGGTAGCTAATGCAGCAAAAGACAGAATCAAAATTCAAAATGACCTTAACAGACTGGAGAATTGGGCACAAGCTAACAATAGGGACAAATGTCAGGTTCTGCACTTAGGCAGGAAGAACCAGATGAACAAATATAGGGTGGGGGACACCTGGCTTACTAGCAGTACATGTAAAAAGGATCTAGGGACCTTGGTGGACCACAAACTTAACATGAGTCAACAGTGTGATGCAGCAGCAAAAAAAAGTGAATGCTATTCTAGGCTGCATCAACAAAAGTACAGTGTCCACATCAGGGGAAGTCATAGTACCACTCTATTCTGCTTTGGTCAGACCACACCTGGAATATTGTGTCCAGTTCTGAGTATCTCAGTTTAAGAAGGATGTTGAGAAGCTGGAACGTGTGCAGAGGGGGGCAACTAGTATAATCAAGGGTCCAGAAGCCAAGCATTGAGGAGCTGGGTGTGTTTAGCCTGGAAAAGAGGAGACTGAGGGGAGATAAGATAGCCACCTTCAAATATCTAAAGGACTGTCACATGGAAGAAGCTTGTTTTCTCCTGCTCTGGAGCGTAGGACTTGAACCAATGGCTTCAAGTTACAAGAAAGGAGATTCTAACTAAAAATCAGGAAGAACTTCCTGACAATAAGAGCTGTTGAACAGTCTCCCTCGGGAGGTGGTGGACTCTCCTTCCTTGAAGGTTTTAAAGCAGAGGTTGGATGGCCATCTGTCATGGATGCTTTAGCTGAGATTCCTGCACTGCAGGGGGTTGGACTGGATGACCCTTGAGTCCCTTCCAACTCTAAGATTCTATAATTCTATGGTGTGTATGCAGCAGAATTGAACTGGCCAGAATTACACCTGGGATGATCTACCTGAAGCAAGAGGCCAGCTGTCTTAGTGGGGGTGAGACACTAGGGCCTATCTCAGAAAAATTCTGTGAGATAAATTGACATAAACATTTTATAAATTCCTCTTGTCATTTTTTGTCAGACTTCTGAAAACTTGGTTTTTTATTTCCTCTCTGTTACCTTCACTCCTATGTAGGTCTAATAAACACCTCCCCAAGAGTTGTTAATGCCATTAAGTGGATAACAGCAACAATTGGACACAATTTTTCCTTTTCAGTACCTCCAGAGACATTTTATGACCAGGAAGATGGAGATACAACCCAGCTGACCCTTGGAATAAACCCAGCCGATGGTTCACCAACAGGTTCGGAAAGCTGGTTGCAGTTTAATTCAGATTATCAAACCATGTATGGTTACCCACTTGATCACGATTTTCAGTATTCACCTCAGGAATTTTTACTCTTTGCCACCGATTCAGGAGGGCTGAGGACATCTGATACCCTCACAATTGTACTACTCAGGCCAACCACTATCCCATGTCATACTTATACCATAAGAACAAAAAATAGTTACCACTCCTTTCTGAGAGACAGGGATAGAGTTAACTTGTTTTTTGAGAAGCTTTCCAAGTATTTGATTGCTGGCTGTCCTGGCAATATGACACTGCTTGATCTCAAACCTGGGTCCACTGTGATTTCCTGGTACAACAGCTGTTTCTGCACAAAGGTCAGTGGATGTGCAAGGGATGAAATCCAGGGTGTGCTGAGGAAACTAAGAGTACCTGGTGGAAATATAAATCCACATTTTGTTGAGGCAATGTTGCCAGCCTACAAAATTGATCGAATTGAAGAAGTTGCTTTTGATGGAATCTGCTCACCAATCACAAAACCAGTGAATGAATCCCTGATATCAAACAGCACCCTGGCTACATCTGACAACCATTGCTGGATAAGAAACATGTTTACTTCCTTGTTAATAAGTGTATGCATTACGATTATAGTGACTCTGATAGTTGCCTTCCACTGCTGTAGACATCCCAAGAAAACAACTGGATTACAATCTACAACATCTCATGGAAGACCCTTCTTCAGCTACATTGATTTGGAAATGGATATGCTGAAATCCCGGAAGTCACCAATGCTTGAACAAGAGAGCCCACCATCAGCTCAGTTATGGTTGCCTGTTCCAACACCTTCCCCTCAGCATATCTACAGAACAAACAGAAATCTTGTTGCCTCAGGTCTACCTCCACCACCAAAATACAGACTACCACCGTTTTATGGAATGCAAGAACCTAGTCAGACTCACCAGGATGCTAGTCCCAGAAGGTATTATCCCAAAGCTAGCCTATACTGAGAATGCTATTCTGGGAGGGGCAGATTTTTTTCATTCTTATACAGAATTATATAGGAATTATTAATGATGATATATTAACAAAGAAGCTAAAGAAATGCCAAGTACAACAGGTTTAGATACAAAATCCTACGACATAAGGCAATGTGTTTATTGTAAACACAAATATCTGCCATGTACAGAAAGCCTAGAAAAAAGACAAGCTGCTTTTTCACAGGCAAGGACACCAATAACAATGAGAAACACCACCACTTCCACCTGTTTTATCTCTTATATACTCCCTGGGACAATAAAACAGTATTCACAGAGGTACTGTAGATGTGTTAATGGTTATGTTATTTTCTTAAAATTTCTGTAGATAGTTATTGGCAGAACACTTAAATGTTATGAATCAAAGCCAGGAAATCCTTTTTTAAAGTGTCAGTTTTTATGATGGGAATAGTGTGGCAGCTGATGTTCCATGGCTTCATCCATCCCATGTCAATCTAGTAAACTTAAGAATATAAAATTGTCGCACGGGAAGAACTATGCCAATATTGCCTCCTCTCATCCAACGTGAGCGTAACGGACTTTTCCACACAATTGCTTTCTTCTGATGTAATTTTTACATGTGATTGAGGGAACAGGAAGAAAGAAACTATGTCGCTTAAGACCCAGTCCTTTAAATAAGCTGTAACATGATGCATGCTGTAGGCATTAACTGTTTTCTCTTGCCTAGATGGTGTCAAAGAAATACTGGGAGACCAGAGTTCAAATCCCCAGTTGGGCATTAAGCTCACTGGGTGGTCCTGGGCGAGTCATAAAACTCTTCGCCTAGCCTACCTCACAGGGTTGTTGCAAGGATAATATTGAGGTGTCGAGAGCCATGCATGCCACCTTGAACTGAAGGAATACAAATGCAATAAATAAAAGAAATTAACTTCTTACTAGCTTCATGTGCAGCAACTTGATCTGTAGACATTAGCAGACATTTACTCTCTCAAAGCCAGTAAAGATTTAGAGATCCTGCTGAGATGGAGATCCTATAGCCCTTCAGCTGTTGTGGAACAACTCACTGTGCTGGCTGGGGGCTGCTGGGAGCCATGACTCCAACAACCAGAAGGCCACAGCTTCCTCACCAAGGCAATACTAATGTCTGCTTTTAGAAGCACAGGAGCAGGCCAGACTTGTGCTTGGGGTGAGCTAGCCATCCTTGGTCTTTTCTTGTGCTATGACTGCCACAGGTTCCCCGAAACCAATGTTCTCAGCTTTGAAAGTATTAATTTAAAGGTAAGGAGCATTGTTTTACTTCACAAGTTTTTTAAATAATTTCCACAGATTGCTTAAGACTTGAAGGGTAATCTAAGGTAAGAACTGAAAAGGGCAATGCCTTCCATTTAATCATTCTTATACCATCCCAGTAAAGCAGGCATGCCTAAAATGCTAAATGATTAATATAGGATTGCTCAGCCTAATTAGAAATATTTCTGAGTGCCTTCACTGAACTCCATTATGCTATCTTGGAACCAAACATCCCCTTTACTCCCAACACACAAGCAGGTAAAAAGCTGACAAACACCTTAACACCAAATACACCTTAACAATTAAATCAAAGCCACACCCACACAATTTGGGACCAGAAATCATTTCCCATCTAAGAAGTTTGTTTTTATATATCTGAACCATGGCCTATTTCTGAATAATAGATAACAATTTAATTTAACATGCTGAAATGACTGCTAGTCAAAGAATCAAATTTGATGTCAAATTCAGAAGGGGGGTTAGTGTCTCAAAATCCAGGAAGGAGCCAGAGTGTTGATTTTTGGCTTGACCAAGTGCTTTTAACAACCAGCAAAAAGTAGCTGAAACAACAGGGAGCGGTTTTAATTTAGGAATAAACATCACCAACAAAAATTTGGCTTATTAGACATATAACATATTTTTCTGAAAAACCAAGTTTATTCTTAAACAGTTGTTCTCATGCTTCCCTCTCCCATCACCCCACAATTCAAAAGCTGTCCTGGCCAATATGGAGTTGCAATCAAGAATACTATCTTTGTATACAAAGCACAAAAGAAGGCTGTCTTTGTAGCTTTAACAGTGTTGCAGGGCTACTTCCCCTTCTGTAACTGTTTTGATCTCAGGTATTAGCTCTGATAGTTGGCAGGGTGTCTATTCCCCTTTGCAACAGGGTTTTACTTAATATATCAGCCTTCATATCCACTATGCAGTAAGAGAACTAATGGAGAGAGCCCAGTGTGAACTGGACTGTACAAACACCCTGTAGCCATGTTGTCAATGAAACCAGCTGCAGCCTGTCTTTCTGTATAGCGCAGTTTAGACTTAGGTTTCTTGTGCCATTTAATACACAAAAGATTATCTGCAGCCTCGTCTATAGCAATACATGTTTAAATTGCACAAACTAACCCAAACAACTGATCAAGGACAATCATACTTAAATCTATATTTCTTATTATCTAGGACTGGTATAAGCAGTTCAGCATTTTAGATAGCATTTTATTTACGGAATGTGCTATATAATCTTTTTAGCCTCAAAACAATTGTGTGTGGCAGGTCTCTGTTACCCTCAACTGCCCCTTCTTTAATGGAATTAAGAGCCCATTGTTGCTCTATAACATACCCAGACAGTTTATCACTGTTCTGTCATTAAAACCAAGACACTGTGTCCAACAACAAATGAATTTATGCAGCACTCTCCTAAAGTACAATCTCCTAAAAAGTTTTAATGTATCTAAAAGCACACCTGAAAACAAAACCCAGGTAAAAATAAATACCGTGTTTCTCCAGAGGGAATCAAAAACATTTTAAAATTCATTTTTTTATAAAGACCTTACTATTAGTTGGAAATGAAGTCTTGCTTTATTTGATCCTAGAGTAAAAAGGGATTTGGGACAAATGATTTACACATTTAATATAATATTGAGATTTTCTATTTTTATAGAAAAGTGATAAAAATAGGGAAAAAAACAATCAAAGCAACTGAAGTTTGAATCAATTTGAATCAAGAATAAAATGTTTATGCAACATAACAAAATATAATTCTTAGATTCCATTTTCACTGCCGGCTGGCTTTCCCATTTTCTGTTGTTTCCATTCTGAAACAAAGCAAATAAACAAACAAACAAATTTTGCCTTAAGAGTATTCTAGTAATCATTTTTTAAAAATAAATAAATAAATTTGGCATTTCCCCCCGCCCCAGATTTTTCTATTTACAACAAAATTGATTAGTATGTTTCAAAAATATTTATGCTTCTTTGTCTCCTAGACTAAACCTGACCCAACTGCATGCATAACTAATTGCCAAAATAACACGTGTGTCTCTTAACCTTTCATCATTATTTTGAGACTGCAGAAGAACAAGATAAACTAAAACCCTATTTCTGATTGTCAGTTTGCATTTCTTGGTGCAGAGAGTATTGATCTGATATGCAGAGATCTTTCCTATTCTAATTAATTCAAGTGGGTTATGGAAGCTTCTCTATGTGAAAGAAGCAAGCAGAAAGTTCGTGATGTTTGGATTATACCTTCAGAGAAGCTGAGTACAGCTGGTTTAAACTGGTGAACTGGTTCTCTTATCTCTTCTCTCAAGGTCATGTTTATAAAAATAGGCCAGAAGGAGTCTGGGTTTCACTTTCCCTTTCTATCTCTTTTCCTTCTGGTGCAGAATTCTGTACATAGTATGTTTAGTGTTAAGGTTTATTATAAGTCTTATTATAAGTTATTGAAAGCTTAAGTGAAGTCTGCTGCAACTGGATTTCTTATGGACTGTGCCAATCCTGAATGTATTGGATTTGTGACCATTATGCTCATTTGCCTTCAGTAGCAGTAAAGCTCTACTGGATCAAATATTAATTGCCTCTGGTCTATTCTGGGAATCCTGCAACGTGTTTAAGTTTTTACTCTGCTAAACTATATGCTGGAATCTGCTCTGGATCAATATTGAGTAGAATTCCATGACACTGATATAATTATAAATATGATATTCAGACAGTTTTCGGCTAGTAAAAAAAAAATCACTTCAAGTAACATGCTATTTAGTAGTACAAACCCATTCTCGTCTTTAAGATGTTGATATAACTCAGCTTTGTTGTTGACAGAGTTCAAGCGACCAGTAAATTCCTGATGTTTCCTAGAATTTGCAGTGTTAATTCTGTTGCTCCATAAAGACAGGAGAGAAACTGGCCCTAGGTTTGGTAAACACAATTTAAGTACGTTCAATAGTTTTCATTCAAAAACTCATACAACAAGCAGCATACATGTTACAGATACATGAACACAGCATTTCCCCCTTGTTCATATTTCACCAGCATTGGATCCAGGATAAATAGCACCTTCATTTCTAACAGACCAGGGGATATCTAAAAGCAGCCCACAACTCTATAGCCGCGTGTCACCTCTGCAGCCGGGAGAGGGTCGCGGGGTGCTTCTTTAGCCCCGCGCGCGCTCTCCCGGCTGGAGAGGTGACGCGGGGCTGTAGAGGCTCCTGCCATAGCCGCGCGTCACCTCTGCAGCCGGGAGAGGGTCGCGGGGCTATGGCGTCTTCGCTCCATAGGACGCACACACATTTTCCCTTCATTTTTGAAGGGAAAAAAGTGCGTCCTATAGAGCGAAAAATACGGTATATTCCTGTGTTAATTGGGACTGCCTAGTAAAGTATTTCTTTTTATTCTTCATTACATTTTTATGCCACATTTTCTCCAAAGGAGCTCAAGATGGTGCACATGATTCTCCTCCCCATTTTATCCTCACAACAACTCTGTGAAATGGGTTAGGCTGAGAGATGGTGAGTGGCCCAAGGTCACCCAGTGAGCTTCATGGCCAAGTGGGGGTCCAATACTCTAACCATTGAGAGCACTGCTTAGCTTTGTCTGGTATGGTTGGTTTCTAATTGGATGGGGGACAGCATGTTGAGAATTCCTGCATTGAAGGTTGGACCAGATGACCCTTGAGGTCACTTCCAACTCCACAATTCGATAATTCTAAGTTTTGTGGGGTCTTTGAAAGACTGGTCATTGCAAAAAGCACATTGGGCTGAAGTACATTGGGCTGGTGTTGTGAATTAGTGTGTTAAGCTTTTTAATTAACCCCTTTTGAGGTTGCAAATAAATGTTTGTGTTAGGCCATCACCCCGTTCACCCTCTGCCCAGTCCATGGGGGGGGGAGTGTAGCACTTGTCCCCCCCTGTGCTACACCACTTACATGCCTCTCTCCCCACAAGAACACTTGTTACATGGCAGTACTTCTTTGCAGAGACATTTAAGAATAATTGAGTCGCTTCTTCTGAAGGCATCCTGCAAGCATAGTTTGCATTCTGTAGCCCCAGATATACGATTCTTTCATTCACTTCTATTAAAACAACATTGGCAGCATCCAGCAGATATACAGGCCTATGTCTTGCTGAAGTTATTCTTCTTCCACCCAAACAAGCAAGTTTTCTAGTTATTTACAGCACAAAAGTCACTCTAACCTTTACACTTTATAAAGAATTTTTTTAATCTCCAAGGTTACTAGGTGTTGTTGTTGTTGTTTTAAAAGGCTTAATGTTAGGTCACACATGATAATGCACCTCAAATCAGTTTTTAACTTTTTCTTTCTTTTTTTAAAAAAAAAACCTATTTGGCAATTATTCAAAATCTACCTTTAGTTTTTTCAATGGTTGGAATTTCATCCACTGCAACAAGGGGCTTTTTGTTTGGTGGCTCAGGAGAATCAGGTGAATCTTTTATTACTTCTGCCTCTGCTAGTTCCTCTTTTTCACGCTCTAATAAACCTTTTAACCTGCAGAAATAAATAAAAAGAATTACCACTGCAATTTCAACGCCAACAGTTCCATTTAGTAAGTTGTGAGATAGTGATATTACCTAGAGAATCAAAGAATAGGCAAAAAACGCTGGAGACTTGCGCTGAAAAGAGCTTGTTATTTAACAAACTATGTTGGGAAGAAATTAGAATTAAATCTATGGACAGCAAATTACTATACTTCTGTTACTTTTGAAGCATGAATAACTACTTAATTTGTGGGTTTTTTTTAATTAAAGCCAGCTTTTCATTCTTTTTTAGTTTAACCTTTCAGTTCCCAGTGTGTGTAAACACACAAACATTCATGAGGTAAGCACATTATGCTTGTAGGCAAATTGCAGAATAAACATTCCACAAACACTTCTTGATACTTGGAACTAGCATGAACCTCAAGTAAAAGGTAAGGGCAGATGTAGCCTGGGTTCTCCCCTCTGCTGATGGGGGTTCCTGAACAATTTTTTAAAGATACTAATACTTTCTGGAGAGCTCCCATTCCATGCTTTGGGCTTCATGCTAGAGTCTCCTTGCAACAGGCCAAAATCAACTCTTTCTAATGGTGTTGAGACAAAGAAAATTGGCCTGTCACTCCTGCTGTTTATATAAATATAAAACCTGAAATAAAATTCTATCGGTACTGATAAAGCACCTTTCTGATTCCTGCCAGGATTTTTCTGGTTCATAGTCTTTTCCTGCTTTCTCTGACTTTTCTTCTTTTTCTTCTCTTTTCCTCCCCCGTTTCTTGCGTTCCTCTTCTTCAGGTGGTTTGCTTCTGCAAGCCAGAAGGCACTCCAGAACTCGTTGATGTTTATCCGAGTTGGCTATGTGTGCTCTAACAAGAGTCTCCAGTTCATTCCACATGATCCTGTACTGTTCATCTCTATTGAAAAAGACAACATGATTTGATTCTTATCTACACAAATTCTCCAATCTCAAGTATCTAATTTATCCTCACTTCTATTTTAAGACTTCTAGATTCATTTCAACAGTTTATTCTGGAATGGACAAACTTCTGAGTAAAAAATAATTATTAATGCAATACCGTTGATGTATGTGGTGCACTGCACAATCAATGAGTAAAAAGGAGAGGGGCAAGGGGGTAACTTCTGCTTTCGAAATATAATTTGAGTTAAATGTACCAAAAAGTCATATTTACCTTTTAGGACCCTTTCCTCTTGTTCCAACAGTTGATATGGGCAGTGGGTCATTTTTTCTTTCCATGTCTACTAAATTGTAAATTGTTTTCTGGCAATTGAGGACATCTTCATCTGTCAGTGCTTCCTTCACAATAACACTAGCCAATGGCACTACCTATGAGATAAAAAGAAAACAGATGTTCTCCATGAACACAAGAAAAGCCTGCTGAATCAGGCCCATCTAGTCCAGCATTCTGTTCTCACAGTGAACAAGCAGCTGCCTGTGGAAAACCCGCAACCAGGACCCAAGGGGGTTTGCACCAACTGGTATTCTGAAGCCTCTGACCGTGAAGAGAGAGCAACTCCATAAGGGAGAGCCTCATCCTCCATGAACTTGATGGCAGTGAAATCATTATATGCTGAAGAGTTAACAATGCAAGTAACCAGCAGGAAGCCATAAATTCTTTTTATTAAGACACTTACCCAAATTCATTCCATCTAATAGCTCAGTGCCCTTGTCCTGACAAAAATGGAGCCAAAATGGGTTCAAGGAGGAGTCAGCTTGCTTGGAGGAACCTCAAGTTTTAAAGAAGTATCAATAATAATGATAATAAAATCATTAAGGGGGGGGCAATCTCTCCCTCAAACAAAACAGCTTAAATAGCAGTGAATATGTTCAGTGAACCCTAGAAACCACACAATACCAGAAGGGGAAAATATCCCTGAAAACATGGGGGGTGTAGAAAGAACAGGGAACTTGATTGCCTGAACCCCAAAAAAGCTTAAGAGTATTCTTGTTAAGGGCTGAGGAGATATTGTAACATTTTGAAAGTACCACGTGTATAGATTAATATTAAGCAAACATTAAATGCATAATGCATTCCCAACCATATTTAATTGCCTATTACCATGTAAAATGTGGCTTAGGCCTGGGATTTAAAAACAATCCATAGTCACCCACTGCTTGCATGTTGAATATAGTAGTCTGTGAGATGATCATGGGCCAGTAGCGAGTATGCTTCTCTAGTTGATCTTTGGCTCGCTCCAAGGGAATCTCAAAACTTTCATCACTCTTGTATCTGGGTTCCAGAAAAGGAGTAAGCCTGTTTTCCCTCATAAATTCACCAAAATCCTAAATAAACAAACAAGATAAAAGGAGAATTTTTCCTAACATTTCATGATTACTGCTCAATTATAATATCCCGTCTGATCATCATATATTACATGCAACTTAGCTTAAATAGGCTTTCTTAGTATTCAATATCAGTGCCAAATCTTACAGTTGTTACCAACAGGGAAAGTTTAGCTGCACAAAGTTTTGAAAAGTTTTGAAACATTCACACATTAAGCTGCTAAAATATTGACCAGAATTTTTTTAATGAAGCCATTTCAGATCCTGTAAGCGTTGTTCAAGATTCAAGCAACACCTATTTAAAGCTGAGATCACATAGCACAAAATGGCACAATGAAGAAGAAAAATTGTGTTTTGTGAGCTTCAGAGTGGATGCTGTTGACTGGAATTTCTTGAAGTACTGTACAGTGGTACCTTGGTTTATGAACTTAATCCATTCCGGAAGTCCATTCTTAAACCAAAGCGTTCTTAAACTAAGGCATGCTTTCCCATAGCAGTGGGGGACTCAATTTACAAATGGAACACACTCAACAGGAAGTGAAACATGTTCTTATTCCAAGGCAAAGTTCACAAACTAAAACACCTACTTCCGGGTTTGCAATGTTCTTAATCCAAGTTGTTCATAAACTAAGCTGTTCTTAAACAAAGGTACCACTGTATAGTTAATGCTACCAATGCTACGATAAAGCTGGATTTTGGGCAAAAGACAACTGAGACCTCCGATTATAATAGACCCAAATAAGTTTAAAAACCAACCATTTATGGCTTGCCCAGATCCCACAAAAACCTGTTGGTGGCCCCAATTTCAGTCCAGAGGAATGAAAACTAAGTTTGCCTTCAAAGTCCAGGTTATTCTGTCATTCCTCAGAGAAATTAATCAGTTTCACTTTTTCTTGAAATTTCTTGAAAAGTAGGCCCAGCTTCCTTTTTCCCTGTCCCTTGATTATAAGCTCCCCTCTGTGACATTAATACAAGGGTTCTGCCTAGCTTTGTGGCTGTGAGAGGATAATGGCTTAAAGAAAAAATACATAAAGACATTTACTGTAATCCTGTAGTCTGTGACTCTACCACCACATCCTTCACTAATTGAAGGAGGATCTTCCAAAATGGATCGAGAACTGCTTAGAACATGCAGAAAAATCTCTCCTCCATGGCTACTAAGCATATGACTAATTACTTTAGAGCCAGACTTCCGTGGTTGTTCCAACAACACAGAACGACCTATTGAAAGAGAAATTGATTCATTAGTTACCTAGCTTAAAAATTCTACAAGATACCTGGTTATCCAGTTGTATTTTTAAAAAGCACATAAAATATTTGTAGGAAAGGACATTTTCATTTGTTTCCATTATTAAAAGATTTTTTTTGCCTACTTTCTGAAATTGATCCCACCCCCACCCCCCTCTTTCTCCTGCCTCCTGCTCGCCCCTCCCACCCCTTAGCAGCCAAGTGAAGTTTTTTGATACTGGAAGAAGCTGACCAAGAATATCCTTAAGCTAGTAGATTATGCAAGCACAAATTACATTTTAAAACAAATATTTATATCAATCACTTGCTGGAAAAGTAAACTTACAAGCTTTGGAAATTGTGTCTTAAGAGTGGCAAACATTATGTTGAAATTAAAATAGTGGCATCAGTTATGTGGCATACACCTAAGCAGTTTAAATTCCAACCTCTGTCCCTAACAGTTCCTCTCTCTGTCCTTGGTATTAAAATCAGGCCTGGGATTACCCAGGAGCATCATGTTATATTTGTGACTGTTTGTTACACTAGCAGAAGCCAATGTTGAAAAGCAACTTATGGTTTGTCTGGAAGGTGTGGAGAAGAAAACACCTGCTTCAAAAAAACAAGAGCTGTATCGAACTAAACCCTTGTATGCACAGAACTTCTGTGAGTGCAACTTAACTTTCCCTCCCTCTCTTCCCCAATCTCCCCTGGATTCCCCCCAAACTTCAGGAGCAGAATGGGAAGAGGGGTGAAGTTGCATTGTGCTCACAAAATTCCTTCAAGCATGCAGTGATTTAGTTGAATACAATCCTAAGAATCACAAGTGAACAGACTTAATTGTACAGCTCATGGCATCATGGCCAGAGTTCTTAACACAATGAGACATTTTCCACATTCAAATAATTAAGGAAATCCTACCAGAGACAAAAGCAAATCTTTTGTGAGAAGCAGCCCAAATTTTAGGCAAGGCAACATAGATATTGCAAGCAGAAGTTACACTTCCTGAATCTATGCAACTATCAAGAGTATAAGCACTTGTATATTATGTTCAGACAATATGACTGAATACAAAGTTTCCATTTTGTAAGCCCCCAGCCAGGATGCTCGGGGGGGGCACCAAGTATGGGGGGCTCTGGGTGCCTGAGGTCTTGCAAGGCTTTGGCCAGCATCCCCAAGGCCTCGAAGATACGTTCTGAGGCCTTGCGAAAATCAGACTTCTGGTGGCACCGGAAGTCAGATTCGGACGTCTAGGAAGGCCTCAGACTCCATCTCCGAGGCCTCTTGCCTCAGAGGTGTATTCCGAGCTCTTGTGAGGTCTCGGAACCTGACTTCTGGTACCATCGGAAGTCAGATACCAAGGCCAGGGGGCCCAAGTGAAATGACGTCACATTACGACGTGACATCAGCACGTCACACATGCTGGGCACCCATAGCCAGAGGCCTAAGTTGGCGTCTCTGGTATGTGTGTGCGCATGTGCACGTGCACACATGTCCACACAACCAAAACTGATATTTGATCAGCTCAGTATCATTAAGGACAGTGGCTTGAAATGGAAGTCAAAGTGTAGCCAACACAAGGCACTACACAGCTGAGCAGTCAAATGCAAGAGGTCAGGCTCCTATTATTCATACCAGGCCTGGGCAGTCCAGAGACTTCAAACTGCCTACACTTCAAGCAAGTTCCTTGGCCTGAGTGTACAGCACTCCAGAAGACTCACTAGGTTAGATTTCATATTGTATAGCTCTGAGTTCAAACCTGAATCCAAAACAATTAAAATAAAATACATTTTTACTGATTTTTTAGCCAGAAAGTATTTTACCATTAAGGAGAAAGTTGGTAAGGCAAGAAGAAGGCCGACTATTTACATCTACAGGTGATATTCTGAAAGCTCCAGTACAATAATGCAGTTCTAAAGGGGGGGGAAAGGGGGGAAGATGAAGAGAAACTTTAGTTTGATTACAATACAGAAAAAAATACCTAATTCATAAAATAAACAAAAATTAAACACCATAGAATGTAATTAACATTAACCACACTGCAAAACAAGCAAAACCTATATTGGTGGCAATGTAAGTGGTATAGAAGCAAAAGCAAACACTGGTCTTCGTGCACACATACATGAAGAATATGTCATTCAGTTGTGCACTAACAGGGGCTTTCATATGCTCCCCAGCACAATAATAACTTCCAAGTGTATATGATTCATTTCTGCACATTCTTCAACATCGTTTTGAGATGACGCTTTCATGTATCTCACATATTCTCCATTCAACACTCATTAACCACAGTGTATATCTGATAATTTTAAGTTGTTATCATTATGCAGTTCATGGACATACCTGAGAGAGAGAAAAGGGGCACCTACCAACACTGTTTGTTCTTGGTGTACACCATTTTAAAGTTACAGTTTCTTTTAATGTACCTTCTTTGCTACTACCACCCATATGATTATCACCTGCAAAACAACATTTGAGATAAATGTAAGTACACAATTTAGTAAAACACAGAAAATAATAAAAGTCAATACACAATAGCAAATGAATATCACAACCAATTCATTTGCCTGTCGCCTTGTTGGTGATTAACTCTTTCAAATCCATTGAAATCCTACTTTGACATCTTCAAAGCAATACTCTGCCCTATAACTGCTATATCTGTACTAGATCCCTGGTATTATTTTTAGGTCCAAAAATTTTCAGTTTTCCTCAACATTTAAACTGCATCATCTTTCCTATTTTAAAAATTCCTTTTCACACCTTCTATACCTGTAATTATGTACATAACTGAGGCAACTTGTGTGCCTTCCATTGTTGGGTATCAACCCTGAATTGATACTGCTGGGACCAGAGAGAGGGTCTTCTCCCCTAACTTTATACTGCATACAGCATTAATGTCTCACATCGAACGTAACAAATTTGTAGAAAAGACTATGACCTGCAAACAGAGACAATGCACATACTTTTGTAACCCAAGAAAATATTTAATAAAAAATATCCAAACGAACAATAAGTGGAGTTCTGCTCAGTAAATAGAGCTTTCCCACCTCTTCTTCCTACATCAGCCTTTTAGATCCCAGCAAAGAAGCCACACTCAACAGCTGGGAACCCTTGGAACAATACGGGATATGGAGCTGAAGATGGGAAATTGGAGGAGGGTTTTTGCTTGTGCAAGAAGCTCCATAGAAGTTAACCAATAAGTGTTCAAAAAATCATAAATTCTAAAAGCAGCCCCAAAATACAAAACAGCCTTAATATCCACAGTTGTAACTATATCTCAGATTATATTATTATATATTATCTATATTATTTTTTCTACTCACCACTTTTTAAAAAGTCTACGTGTGCTTCCTTGTGATGAAGTAGTTCCACATCATAATTGGCAGATGTATTGGCATGCTGCTCTTCCTTTTAAAGAAACACACACGTGTGTGTGTGAAAGAAGATTAGTTTAAAAAAAGAAACAAAAGAATACAAGGATAATTTTATGTTTTGCCTTTCAATATAAGACTGCAAAAGGAAAAAGAACACTTAGACATGAAAGCATTAATGAGTTGGAACTGAGGAAATTTATTGAGTTATTGACTTCTTTAACGATCTAGCAGCTTATAATCATAAACAGAACAATCTTATGCATGTTTTCTCTAAAGTAAATCCCACTGTGTTTAATGAGGCTTACTCCCAGTAAGCACACATGCGTGTATCCTTCAATTACTTTATTTATATTACTTTTTAAAAATAACTACAATGAAGAAGTATCAATAATAATGATAAATTAATGCCAAATTAAGATGTGAGTTCATTCAATAGCCTTGTCCGTGTTGATTTCTACACATAAAATTAAGTAGGAATGCAATATAAAAACCGATCCAACACCCACTTCCATTCAGAGATAGGTTATCCAACAGGGAAGCATTTTCATTTCATAAGCAATGAACAGTAATTATGATTATAACACCACCATCAGCAAGTGTAGCCATTTCTCATTTTATGGGGATTTCTTTCACTTCAGGTTAAGAAGAGAAACCACACATAGTCTTATCCGGCTTCCACAGCTGGATTAGCAGCTACTATCGTTCAAACTGCATGCATAAGGGTAAAAAGATAAAAGGAAACACCAACTTTTAAATAGTTGAGGCAGATTAGCAAACACCACATATGGCAGATTAGCAAAAGAAATTCACTAGGACTTGTTTCTGAATAAATAATACAAAGGGAACCCAACATATATACTATTACTAGAAACAACAAAAGGCAAGAAGAGAAAGCATAGCAGCAGCACACAGGTCAGTAAGTTGCAAACAAGGTATTTGCAAACATAAAAAATTGTATGCGATGGTTCACTGAAGTTTAATTCAAATGGCCAGGGTGCATCATTCACAAAAAAATGTAACTGCTGCCTTAGGTTACACAATCCAGGCAGTACAATTAATGTTCAGCAAAAACAACAACAACCACACACAAACCCCACTGTTTATTAGTGTTACAATGCTTTTCCTTTTGTGCATTCTTTTAACCAATACAAATACTGGGTATGTTCTTTCCAAATAGTGCTCAATTACAACATATAATTGGAATTTCAGGCTAATAAGGAGGACAGGTTTCTCCAATGGCCACTGCAGGGCCAAGTAAGGCCAATAATAAAAGGAAACCCCCCACTAGGGCTGCAATCCTAAACATGCTTACTAGGGAGTAAGCCCCTATGAACACAGTGAGATATACTTCTGAGTAAACATGCATAGGATTACACTAAGTATTAGTAGGGAGAATGTCAAAGCCAGGTAAAGGGCCACATTTTTTTAGAATATCTCATCAAAATTGTTTTCCTGTTTCTACCTTTCTTGCTGATATAGCACTAAATCACTTGGGATTTATTTATTTTTTAACTCCTGTGTGTTTCTTCTACTTGTTACAAACACCTTTATGTTGGAAGGAATGCATGGAAATGACACAGAGGAAAGAAAGGCTCACTATGCCACTAAAATGCACAAGGGGCAGAAATTTCTAACACATGTATTAAAAACAAAAGAATCACAGACAAAGTAATTTGAAGCTAACTAGACTACATTTATGTAAAACAAAGGAAAACAAATACTACTTTCATAATTGAATGAATTGCTGAAAAGTCATTTTGTTCTGTGATCCTTTTTTTCTCCTTCATAAAATTTACTAACCTGGTCACAGACATTGAATGTGGGCTAATAAAAAACAGAAAAAATATGATATGGAGAGAAAAAAACAAATGTAAAAATATCATTAAATAAACATTAAAACCATTAAACAAATTTAAAAGAAACGGTGCAGCTACTTCAGCACAGAGCTGCTGACACAACCTTACCTTCATGGGGATGTTAGTTATAGTGGTTGAAGCCAGATCAAAATGCTGCTGTACTAAAACATTCAGTCTGGTGGCCAGATGCCGTCCAGCCCGAACACTATGCACTTCGCTGGTTAAGACAGGAGAGAGCTTTTTAAAAAAAGACAAATACACACATACACACACAGAATACTCAGTAGCAGCAATTATGGTATGGCAGCATATACTTCAGTAAGAACATCTAGATAAGAACAGGAAATTTTTATCTAGTGAACGGCCAGTCTGTTAAAATGTATAATCTTATATTCACAGATAAATCTCTGAAAATGTGGTCCTAGTCTTTTATATAATATACCCTCTGCAACTATACCCTCTTCCGGGACTCACTCATTCATACAGATCCCATTCACGCAAAGTTCTCATTGTCAGATTGGTGAAGGATAGCCAACTTCTTTAGCACAAGAGGTTTCTGGCAGATAGTATAAAAGCATGGAATTAAATCCTGGATTATGTGAAACCCATCTTTACATATTACAGTAATCTCACAATTTATGCACTTGTAACTTGTGTGCATTCAGTTTATGTGCTTGGCAAATAAAAATGAAAATATTTTTTTTAAAGAGGCTGGAAAAGGGAAGGCATCCAGGAAAAAAGACTTTCAATCCCACCCGCCATTTAACCCAATGTGTCTTGACTATATGTGATTTTGGTTTTATCACTCCAGAACGTAATGCCCATGTAAATTGTGGGCTTTCTGTGCTAGAGGTAAGTCATTTCTTTTACTCCACTACAGTACCAACATTTTCCTATTAACAAAAAATATTTAATTTTACATGTATGAAGCATAAACACAGAGATAAAATTCTAAACACACAAAGTGCTATATAAAGTTATGCAGTAATTTTAAAGCCTTACCTCTTTTTTAAGATGATCCGACACAAGACTTTCCTCACCAACAGGGTAAGTGTGAATTAAGACCAGCTCACATCTCTGGATCTGCATAAGACTAAAAAGCACAAAACATTCTGTTACCAAGGCAGTAATGCCACATCAACTGCACAATACCTAGCATTCAGAAACTTTTAACTTATTTCATGAATATGAAGCCAGACAAAAGCACTGATTGTAGTATAGTACAGTTAGCACACACTGCAATTTTCAATTTCTTGATATACTTTCAGGATCACGCTTCCATTTCCTGTAAGTAAAACACACAATTTAAATTTTAAAGATTTGTAACTTGTAATAGAGGGCCATGATGATGCCAGATATATTGTTTGTATGTGCCAATTGTAAGCCAAAAATGTTAACAAAAATGATTATGGCCCATTTTTCTGGTCTGAACCCGTAAGTTGTTCAAATTCTCCCAAATAAGACAGCAACATGATTTCATGCAATATATTCTTGTTGTTTCCATTGAGTCAGGAGTGTGTGGTTTTATGTGCTTAAGGAAGCTTTAGTGCAGTCTTTTAATAGAGAAGAGTCATTCCCAAATATAAGGTATCTTATATTATACTCTCATGAACAAACAAATGGACTACATGTAGTATACCTAAGAATTTCATTCTGCAAGGAATATTCCAGATGCTTTACACACAATCTGCCCCACTTTTTCTCACTAGGGAATACTTGACTACCATATCTCACAATACATGGGGAATAGATTGGGCGTAGAGTACAAGATGCTTCTCACAATGCTTGTAAAATATGCTAATGAAAGGTGAAAATAAGGTTTTAGTAAAAACAAACTCCATGCAAGACATTCTCATCCTTCTCTCACCTAGGAGTATACGAATGCTGTCTTATAACTTCAGTCCACTGAACCATTTAATTCAGTAATATCCACATTGACTGCCAATGACTCTCTTAGAGTTTCAGACAGAAACCTCTCTTATCCCTTTCTACAGATGCAAGGGATTAAACCAGGAAGCTTTTGCATGAAAAGCATGTGCTTTACACTGAGCAACAGCCCCAAAAGGTCTCACAAATTCCATTTTTAGCACCAGAATTCAGTAAAAATTATGCGTTCAAATGGAATAACTAGTCTGCATACTTACTGATCTGAATTAGCTGCTAGTTTGTTATGTTCATGTATCGTTTCCTGGACAAACTCCTCAAGCATTCGTACATGGCTGTCACTGGAATGGAGGAACACATGCATCTTAGAAAAAATTATTGAAAATCAACTATCATGAGAAAATATGATAATTCATTTATTATTACAACTGGTATTTACAATGATGATACTGTAGTACTGTTATTCTAACAACTAAAATTATACACTGTGTACCTCTATGTGCTACATTCTATAATTTTGGATAAAAACATTTTTAAGAACTTGAGGGCCATAGTTCATATAGGAATTCCTAAAGACCAAATTCCGGTCTTTATTATTTGAAGAAGTGTGCATGCACATGAAAGCTTATATTCAGAACAAATAAATAAATAAATTGTCCAGTAGCACCTTAGAGACCAGAACAAACTTAGTTGGTCTCTAAGATGCTACTGGACTATTTATTTATTTCTCTATTCCACAGTTTGCAGAATAGAAGTGCATTTCCCTCCTTATGAGGACAGCTAAGAGAAACAGGCATTTGACAATTTACTCTAATTTTGCAATAGACACATGATGCTCGCCATACTTTTTACTTCCCCTCTACTCATCTCTGTAGCAACACAGATCGTCACTGTCAGACTCTGAACATGGGTTAATTTTTCAGCAATGTTCCACCAATATATTAATATGCAAGAAGTCTTACAGGTAAAACAGAATCTAAAAAGCTTTGCTAAGTTATAAAATTGTTACATTAATAAAGGAGGTGCTACAAACCTCTTTGCGTTAGTAATACAGATTATTCGTCCTCTGTTTCCAACACGGTCAGCATTCTCCATTAATAAGGTTCGGGCCTCATGTTGGTATTCAGTAATTTTGCAGAGTGCCTCTACTGCTGCAACTAAGCCATGAAGTATACTGCAACACTCAGGGTCTGCACGAGGATTGGGAGGTCCAACAGCTGCTAAAGCGGCCATTAACTGATTAAAAAAAAAGTTTTGTTGCAATCCTAGTTCTTATTATTGAAGAGATCATGTCACAAAAGCAAGTTATTCCATACACAAAAGTACATTGACAAGAAAAGTTCCAGAGGTTTTCCACTATACTATATTGCTATAAATCATCTAGGTCTATTATCCTCTTAAAATAATAATGCACATTTTGTCTGCATATGTCTACAAACAGCTAGATCATTAATCTCTAGGGATATAAACTGCTATGACCCCAAACAAATTCTTTTTCCATAAAGTGCCTAACCATGGCTACTCAAAAGTAACTCCTAGTGAATGTTAATGGAGCTTACTCTCGGAGAAGTGGGGTTAAGATTGCAGCCATAGCCAATAACAATGAAAAATTAATAGAACAAACACAATGAAACCCTGACAATCTTTAATACAAAAAACTACTTCCCATTTAAAATTTGTGCTCTATAAATAACATTTTAACCATTAACCCAGATCGTATTTGCTTTCCATCACTTTTATATTCGGAATCTTTCTCTTTACCTGTCATGAAATTAGAAGCAAATTTGATTTTCCCATTAATGATAAATTATTCCTAGACTTTGCTGATGAAACTTTCTTTTGAAGCATAGTATAATAATGTGTAGGGATGTGCTAGAGACTATTTCTCAGTCCCATAGACAATATATATGGGCTGAAGCCAAAGATTCTCTTCCTCAATTGGAAAAGGACTCCTTTCATTGGAGGAAGAGAACTTTTTGATTTAATCCTTTGTTATTTTTAAAAATATTTTAAATATTTCAGATACACAATACTGAACAGGGTTGGGATGTTCACTGGTCAAATATGATCAAGTAAGAACTCAATTGGCTGCTTGTTATTACTATTTTCATTTAAAAATAGTTTATTTGCCATGGTATATATTCCAAACATTCTCATAATCTTAAAAACCATAAAATAACACGCCATGTGTTCCAATCTCATTAAAAAGGAGTACATTATATCTGCAACAATTTGAAAAGTTAAAATGTATATTTCAGGTGTTCCAAACTATGTTACTCCTCCAAACACTACTCCTGCATGTTCCTCACTACCTATGCATTCAATAAAATCGTTTTTCTTTTGACCTCTTGCTACCTGCAGTTTCCATGTTAGCTTTTCCAACAAAGCTATCTGCCAGACCACTTCATACCACCTAGTCACAGTTGCAATGTTTTCCATGTTCTGGCTATGGTTGTTCTTACCATGGTCAATAAACGGGTTATAAGATCTTTATTTCTAATTCTAGGTGAGCCCTGACTATACAAATTAAGCAATGCCAGTCCTGGGGACATAGGAACTGTCTGCCTTGAAATCAAATATATGTCTGCAAAGATATTTCCCCAGAATTTTTCTATTTTTGAACACTCCCACCACATGTCTGTATGTCCCCCTTTTCACCATGAACCACATAAGCACAAAAATGGCTGGCATCTGCACTGGATACCAATTATTATACTGTACTGCAAGCTATCTACAGTTTAATTCAAATTCAACTCCACTATCTGCAGTAGCCTGTCAGACCTTTGAAAAAACTCAAATAGTCCAGGCTGATTCTATTTCTGTATTGGACTAAACAAATCAATTGAAAGAGGAAAGGAATAAGACTTCATGGTGCTTCAATATCCCCAAAAGATGAATACAGGATAGGGTGAAGAAATATCTTGCATCTATTTAGGCCCTTCCCACATTTTGGCTCTCCAGCAAATAGTTAAGGGTAGCTTTATAAATCATTTTTAGGACCCACCTTATTTTTGTGATTGTAAGTTGTTTTAAACTGTTTTTAATATTGTGTTTTAATGTTGTAACCTACCCTGGGATCTTAGTTATTATAATTTATTATCTGCCCTTAACCCTAACAATAATCATACCTCTTGCAAACTTTGATCTTCTTGGTTCCAAGAGTTTAAGACATTTGCTCCAGAGTCACTTACAATGAAGTTCACCTGAAAATTTACAAAACACAGCTTAAGAAAACATTTTTAAATCTTGATACTGTAACAATTAACACTATCCATAGGGTCAGGGAACACGTGCTGAATCTTCAAGCTCCTCCCAACAAATTACAATGGTATTACAAAAAGATGAGCTGAAGATGCATAGAACATCACATCTAGCTGGTTCACATGACACACTAAGCCAAAGCCTGGCTTAGCATAAATGTGCACAGAGAATCTTGGACCTGCTTTGCTCCTCCCAGGTCCCTTTGCTGCTGCACTGCATCAATGTTTAACTCTTGGTTTAACTCTCATTAATAACAACCTGTAACCACAAAGTCTGACAAAGAGAAAACCTAACCACAAATCCCAGTGTGGGTGGCACACTAAGTCAAGCCCTGGCTAACTTGACCCAACAATCCCCCCCCCCCCCGACAAGCAAACAAATCTCACTGCAGCCAACTAAAGACAATCAATCACGCCCTGTTCCCACCCCCACCTCTCTCACTACCAAGAAATAATAAGTGAATGGGGGGGGGGGGAACCTACCCAAGTGATGGTGACAAAAACCCCACACATATATTAAGTAAAAGAATATGTTTTGCCATCCCAGTACCCCTCTTTTTTCTTCTCCAACCTTATACTGTATACAATACTAATGTCTCCCAACAAATGTAATTGATCTGTAGAAAACACAACATGAAAAAAGACAATGCACGCACTGTTGTAGACCAAGAAAATAGTTAATAATTTATTTATTTATTTTAAAAAGGACCAGGGAGCAGCAAAGCTTTTGTGAGCTCCTCTCCAGGAGCATATGAGATCTCAATAAGCCAAGGTCTCACTGAGCATGTCATACAAACCAGGCCACTATGTTAAAAGCTAAAAAAGTCATTGTGTCACCTATGTTTCATAAAAAATTGGGGTGAATTTTTTTGAAATAACCTCTGTTATTCCTTCAAGTGATGTGTCAATAATAACTAGTTAAATGACTGTAACTCCTATCAGCAAGAGAAGTTGAAGCTCTGAAAGCTTATACACACTGTAAAATCTAATAGTAAGAAGTCCCATTAATCACAATGGATAATTTGAATTTGCCTCTACCAACAGCTGTATGACTCTAGGTAGTAAAGGCCTATTTATTCTACTTCAGAATATTCAGCTGGCAAAGATAAATTACTGCAGAGAATCTAAAATGAGAAAGGTATTGCCACTTTTATTATGCCAAACCCTTCATCTAAACAACTACAGTGAGGGGGGTGGTCTGGAACTTTAGTACAGCAGTGCTAATGTTTTTATTCTGCATTCTTTTATTCTTATTCTTATTTCATTTTATTTTTATTTATGTTAGTGTATGAAATTAATTTTAGTAATTTCATCTGTTTTTATTATATTTTATATAATTTTGGTAAATCACCTTACCATATCATTTTATTAAAATCCGAGCACAATATGAACATTAAAAAAAATATGAAAGAGACAAACAGGGGAGGATGCCTCACTGAACATAGTGGAATGATTCTGACTACAGGCATACCTCATTTTATCATGCATTGCTTTATTGTGCTTCACAGATACTGCTCCTCACAAGGACGTGGGTGCAGCCACAGGCAGCCTGGCTGCTTCCAGGGGAGGGAAGCCACCCCACTTCTGGCCATGGGAGTGAAAGTGGCTGGTTTTTCCCTGCCCACCCCTGCAGCCAGGGTGGCTGGGCTTAAGAGACTGCAGTATAGGGTAAACATAACTTCAATTGCAATGGGAAACAAATAAAAAATGTATGACACACTTTATTGCAATATTCACTTTATCACAGTGTCTGGAACCAAACCTGCAATATCTCCAAGGTATGCACAGGATGTGCAGTGAATTGCATGTCAATCATTACTGAAAGCTGTAACTAATTGTATTTCTTAAGTGTGAAGAAAAATGTGGTAGCAAGTACCAAATTCAAAATACAGATTTCTATTCAGTGATTTTTAGAAAATAAAATGAAAGCGTTGCCGGTTTCTACTAACACAATGTCCCCATGGCTATGGAATGGGCTGAGCTTACCATGGCTACCAATTCTTTACAAAATATGGTTACTTCCATACCTCTGCAAACTTATTCATCATCTCTTCTGTATCTCTCACTATCTTCAGCAATTTTGTCTTAGGCACCAATGCAAATGCAGGCACAATTGTACTTTACACAACACTAAAATCAAAAGACCAACAACAAATTGTGCGACTGCATAAGGTGGCCAAAGATCAAGATTGCAAATTTCAAGAAGCACTAAACTGCAATCATGACCACTAAAGTACAAATCCTACAGAACTCAAGAGTAAACATAGTTATGATGCACTATTAGTGTAGACTCCCCTAAATACAAAATATAATTTTACCTGTCACTTACTAGTTTTTTAAAGGGGAATATATCAAACATTATTCTACAATATTCCATGGATGATTCCACTGAACAGGTCCATAGCGATCGTGATATAGGTGCAAGAGGTATGATTCCTTGGGTCCGATTCTTCATTAACATATCAAAGTCAACATGTTGTCTGCAAGATTCTGCCATATAAGGGCAGTGATCCACCACAAAAACGGTTTTGTGTGATTCTGAAAAAAGTTTCATTTTCTTCCTACAAGAAATGAATAACAGAATTAGTAAAACACTATGCAAATTTCAGAACAATCATACATATCTATTCAGACATAATTCCTAGAGTTCAATGGAGCTTACTTCCAGCAAGTGACTATAGGATTGTAGTCTCATAAGCAAGCCTAAAAGTGAAGATGTGAATAAAAAATACAAAAAGGATTGGAAAATGTTTGTAAGGTATTTTAAAAATCAGTATAAACAGGTGAACAGATTAGCAGGACTTGAATAAATTCAGCAGTGTAAGAGAAAGCAGGAGATAAAGTGTAAGAAGAGTAGAATTAGGTAATTTAGAATATGCAGAAGGGGTGGAAAACAAAAGAAACCAGCGAAGGAGAAGAAGGGGAGTTCTTATGAGTTTTGTTCTTTGTTCTTATTTTTGTGGGGGTTCCCCCCTTTTTCTTTCTTTTTATGTCTTTTCTGAATCGTATGCAAAAAGGCTAATAAAAGTTTTATATATTAAAAACAGTGTAGTTGTGAAAATACAGTGGACGCTCGGATTGCGAACATAATCCTTGGAGGATGCACATCCGCAACCCGCAGCGGCACGTCTACGCATGTGGGGGTTGCGATTCAGCACTTCTGTACCTGTTCCAGTACTTCCGGGTTTCGGCAGTCCGCAACCTAAAGCGTCTGTAACCCGAGGTATGACTGTACTTCTTTTGATGCACTTTTGCGGTGTACCTATTGGCAATCCTTTCCTGCTTCCTTTGATGTGTGGTTCAGTAATTACTTTGAAAAAAGCACGTACAGTGGCCCTGTTTGCACAATACAGTAAACAGTAATGATCTGCTGGGATGGGCTGATTTGCTCCTTCCTGCTTGTGCTGGGGAGAAACAAGCCACTACCCCTGGGCACAGTTTTACATTGTGATTTGCTTCATTCCAAAAAATCATGATTGGTATGTCAAGAAGGGCATTTCCTTCAAACGGGATCCAATGTAGGTTTCCAAGTCAGTAATGCTTTTAAAGACACAAATACCACTATCCACATTTATTAGGACTAAAAGATATTTATGAAAGTTTCCATCTTACTATGAACCTTCAGATATTATAGATCAGGCATCCCCAAACTTGGCCCTCCGAATGTTTTTGGACTACAACTCCCATCATCCCTAGCTAACAGGACCAGTAGTCAGGGATGATGAGAACTGTAGTTCCAAAACATCTGGAGTGCTGAGTTTGGGGGTACCTGTTTTAGATTAATCATTTTAGTGTATTAGTTGGCTTCTCAAATAGTTAGCTCATAATATTTAAATTAAGAAACTTTGTTCAGTACTGTTGCACTTTTATTCTTGTCTCAATTAACACTGCATAATATTGCTATTCGATGTGTCACATCTCTCACAAGATTATGTAAAATGTAAAATGTGACATTTTTACTCAGTGCTAAAGACAACCATCTCATCTTTTCCATCTCATCTTAAACATTTCTTCAATTTATGAGGGGTAAGCAGTACTCAACTAATAGGTAAAGGGTAAAGGGACCCCTGACCATTAGGTCCAGTCATGACCGACTCTGGGGTTGCGGTGCTCACCTCGCTTTACTGGCCGAGGGAGCCGGCATACAGCTTCCGGGTCATGTGGCCGGCATGACTAAGCCGCTTCTGGCAAACCAGAGCAGTGCATGGAAACACCGTTTACCTTCCCGCCGGAGTGGTACCTATTTATCTACTTGCACTTTGACGTGTTTTCGAACTGCTAGGTTGGCAGGAGCAGGGACCGAGCAATGGGAGCTCACCCCGTGGCAGGGATTCGAACTGCTGACCTTCTGATCGGCAAGTCCTAGGCTCTGCGGTTTAACCCACAGCGCCACCTGCGTCCCTTACTCAACTAATAATAATACATAATTATTCTTCTAAAGAAGATTTCAAACTTACGAAAACAATCTGTGTGAAACCAAGAACCACAATCCCCTTTCAACAGATTTTGAAGATGTCCAAACCCAAGCCATGTTGATAGTGATCTGGTTGAGATTCCTGCATTGCAAGGGATTGGACTAGATGACCCTCAGGATCCCTACCAACTCTACAATTCTATGATTCTAATTGTCATTCTTTCTCAAACCCCCCCCCAAAAAAGACACTAAAAAACTGTTTGTAGATATATGCTTCTGTTTATAGGTCACATGCCCATTCACATAAAACTCCGAAAAGTCATCAGCTGAAGAAAAAAAAGTTAAGAATTGGGATTTTTAAAAAATCTTGAACTTCCCCACAATTTGCTTCTGCATGAGGATTTCTGGATAGAAGCCCCTCTCCCTTCAGTGGGAACACTTTATTGAGTTAATTAGCAAGTTGTTGTTGCTGTTTTAAATGTAGGTAGGAAAAGCATGAATGCGTTCTTTTGTGGCTCTTGCAAACAGTTGTCTCTTGGGCTGGTAGTGATGGTAGAATTCTCCAGCCTGCAGAATTACAAAAGGCTGCTCCATTGAGCTAGGGGAAAAGGAATCACAGTGCGTGTTTAATCTTTGGCTCAATCAGGGCCTGCCCACCCATGAGACGAGGCAAGGAGAGTCCCTCAGGCGGCAGGGTCCACTGGGGCAATTGTTGCTTATGCAGATCTTCCCTGACCCCTTCCCTCCCCCCCCCCCCGTGGGGACGAGAGCAGCACAAGTTGGGGGTTTGCCTCAGATGCCAAAATGCCCTGAGCTGACCCTGGGCGCCAGGCAACCCAGTGACACCTATCCAGATCCTCCAACCTATCCCAACGCCTCCTCCACGAGAGGTCCAGAGGGCAGCAACACGAAAATCAGCCTTTTTCTGCCGTGGCTCCCCATCTGTGGAATGCTCTTTGCAATGAGGCTCACCTGAGGCCTTCATTATACACCTTTACCTTTAGGTATCAGGCCTTTTGGCTGACGAATATCCCACAGCCTTTTTAAATGTGTTTTTTTTTGGGGGGGGGAGTTTTGTTTTGTTTTTGTTCTTGCTTTTATTACGTATCTTGTGTTCATATATTGTATTTCTATGCTGTGAACCGCCCTGAGATCTACTAAAGGGCGATATTAAATAAAAACAAAAGGTGTTTAATTCGCGCGGGTTTTATGGAGAAGCAGCATTTAGATGGGGCTCACGGGTTTGCGCGCAGCCGCTGAGGAGAGGGCGCGACGGGGGGCTCTGAGGGGCAGTTTCGGGCCTCAATGGTGTTTCTTACTGTGGCTCCTGACATCGGCCGTCCTCCCGAAGTCTAGCCGCCCCGAGGGCCAGGTAGGTTACGAAAGCGGACGAGGCTTCGGCAGCCCTGGGACTCGCCTCACGGGAAACGGGCCAGCCGGGGCCTTCCCGCTACTCGAAGCCGGCCCAGCCGCCCTCGCCTTTTCCGCGGCGGCTCCTTTAAAACATCGCGAGAGCCTCCGGTTTCGTAGAGGCAAGAAAGGGCAGAGTAGGGCTCCAGCTGCTGCTGGCGAAACGCCAATTCCCCGGTTCCTTTCGATAAACGATGCGGGAAAACGCAAGGAAGGTGAGCGCTGCAGACCCCGCTTGCTGCTTCCTCCCAGCAGGTAGGAAAGCGCTCGGAAATGCGGCGCGTATTGCGGTCTAAACTGCGTCCATAACGCCCCAATGTCGAATTCAGCGAGGCCTGGATTCGAAATAGCATGAATTTCGGGGCGACTTTGGGACTCTCGCGCGCGCGCACCCTCCGTGATCCCGGGGGGAAATGCCAAAGTTCTGGATGCTAACGGACATCTGTGGCCATAGGAGCCAACTCCGAGGAGCCACAGGGGCTTTGGTCCCCGCAAAGTGAATGGCCATTGCCGCCATTCAAATGGAGAGCAGGCATTGTGTCATGTGATCACTTGTGGGGGCGGGGCTTACCTGGGTTCCCACAATATTCCGTTCCAGTTGGCGCCCCTGCCTGTCACTTCTGACGAAAAGTAGTTCGAAGTCAACCCAGAAGCGAGCTCCTCAGTACACGTCTACTTGCGCACATCTATAATGTCTGCCTCTCCCTTGAGGGAGATTCTCGCGATATCTCGGCGCAGACTTCTATTAGCTGGAGAAATTGAGAGGCATGTCCTCCTCCTCTCCCCTTCAGGGAAGTCCCGCGATACTGCATTGGCGCCCCGCCCCCGGGAGAGCGGAGGTGATGCTGGGTGAGCTCGCCGCTCTTCTCGCCCAAAGAGCGAGCGGCCTTCGGCGAGGGGAGCCGCGAAGTCTCGCGAGAGCCGCTTTTGAGTGACACTCGGGTCCATCCTTCCGCCGGCGACGGGCTCGCTCTTCTCCACCTACCTCACGGCCCCCTCATGGGGCCTGTCGGCGGGTCTGCGCCGCCTCCGCGTCCTCCGCTCCCTCCAGCCGTCGCCGTCTGAGGAAGCGCCGCGGCGGACGAGAGGTGAAGGCGGGCTGCGGGGGCCTCGCCACATCCCCCCCCAGCTCCGGGCGCCGCCGGCGAGGAATGAGGCGGAACCATCGGTGAGGGGGGCTCCGGGGGGGGGGGAGAGGGGACGGCGGGGACCCTGCCGCCTCGTGATTGGCTCGTGGGGAGGCGCGCAGGTTCCGCGCTTCTCTCGCCCCTTTGAGGCCGCCGTGGCGGAGCCTCGAACTTCAACGGCTCTTTTGCGAGGGGCGCGGGGGGGGGAGGGGCAGAAGGCTCTGAGGCGGAGGAGCCGGGACCGCCGAACAGGGAGAAATAGGGCAGCGGAGGAGCTCCTCCTGTGTGGCCTGACGAGGCAGACAGTTGTCGCCACAGGATAGCATCACACAGTTGGAAGGGACCCCCGAGGGTCATCTAGTCCAACCCCCAGCCATGCGGGAAACTCAGCTAAAGCAGCCATGACAGGTGGCCACCCAACCTCTGCTTAAAAACCTCCAGGGAAGGAGAGTCCACCCGCTCTGGTTGGGAGTCCTTTCTGCTGTCATACAGCTCTTCCAAGGAAGGAGATGAACTTTGGGACAGTAACTTGAAGCCATTGGTTCAGGTCCTGGTGGGGCAGGTGCCTGCTTGCATCTGCTCCTGCTAGAGAACTGTTGGAGGATGTGGATTATTGGCGTTTGTGTTTTTGTTGTTGTTGAGTGTGTGCTTAAATGTAAAAACACACACACAACAAAACATGCATTAAAAGATAAGGAACTTCGGTTTTGTACCCATCACAGTCCTAGCACTGATAGCTGCAGGGCTGACTGTAATGTACTTACTTACTTCACATGATTTATATCCCACAACTTTGACACAGTTTAAGGTTTCCAGGGCACCTAATAAAGTAAAAAGAAACACAAAGTACCATTTAAAATAAATACTATTATAATAACAAAAAGTATAAACTAACACAGCAAATTAAAAAACAACAAATCAAAACATTTAATAGCTGATTTAAATTGCTTTCCCCATCTCTGCTCTAAGGTTTCACTAACATTGTAAACCACCCCCACCCCCATATCATAAATGCTAACACTGGAAAAACACTTTAGAAATTCACTGACAGTCACAATCCATGCCTGCCTAGGTAGTATTTCAAGCCACCGTACAAATAAGAAGTCAACATGATTATCCTGTCTTTGATTGTACACTTCCTCTGACACATCTTTTGGTAATGTGATTTACATAACAGGACACTTTACACTGGCAAAGTTCTTAAATTCAAAATGTAACACCTAGTTTTAATCCTGCACATTCTAGTATGCAAATTCTTTTACTCTCATTGCTGTAAAGTTTTTGTTTTTAAGCGTTTATATTAATGCTTTTAGAAATTGGTTGGTATTTGTATCTGTATATTTTATTCATTATACAGCATCATTTTATGATTATATTGTGTGTCCTTACATTCATATCCTTACATTCATTACATTCATATCCTTATGGGTACTGTTAGTAGACGAGCAGGATATAAGTTTTGAGAAATGTGTGAAACAGCACCAGATTTAGGGTGATGTAGGTGCTTTCCCAGCACAAGGCGCCAAGCTGAAGGGGAATTTCCTTCATCATCATTAACATTTTTGACAGATTGTCTTATGCTTTAGGGGGGGGCCCTTGGCATCAGGCAAGCTGACACCCTGGCCAGTCCGCCACTGCACATTCATGTGGTTGATACACCATAGCTACAATGGTAATCTGGGGTGGGGGCAAACCTTCAAAGAAACCAGTGATCTTTAAATGGTGGCGTATCCCCCTACTTTTTTAAAGAATTGCATGAGTGCTACTGTACCATTTACAGGGAAGTGCTTTCCTTTATAGAAATAAAAACATTAGAACTTTGAAAATAATCATGTTATGTGGGCATGAATGGACAAAGTCCCTCAGTGGCAGTTCCACCTATCACAGAAGCTGTGACTTTGCAAACTGAAAGAAAAAAGGTTTACTCCTGTGAGAGTCAGTGTAGTGGTTAGAGTATTTGTAGGTCTAGGACCTGGGAGACCCAGATTCAAATACCCACTCAGCCAAGAAGTTCACTGGGTGTTACTATAATAATACTAATAAAAAAATTACTATTTATATGCCGCCCAACTGGCTGGGTTTCCCCAGCCACTCTGTCCTATACATGCCTAAACTTAAGTCCCACTGTGCTGTCTGTATGACCTGTTTTGCTATGGCTAGTTACAACTTTCCAAATACCACAAACTGCAAAAAGAACCAACTAAATTATGAAAAAATAAATAGAAAGTGCTGTTGCATTGGAAAAAATATGACTAGTCATTCTGTTTTTGCGCCCATAACCCAGGTTCCAGGAGCCATGTGGCAAATAGCTTTTCTATCTCAGTTGCTAACACTAGAGTACATATTAAAATGCTTCCTCTGGCTGGGGAGTAAAATGATAATTATATTTTAATGTTTCAGAATATGCGAACACACATGCCACACATCTTGCAATGACATTGTGTTTACATTACGCAACAAACACTTTGTCCAATTCTTTATTTTAGAAATGAGTTGCACAATTGAGAAGGCCCTAGCTGATGCAAAAGCACTAGTGGAGCGACTGAGAGAACATGATAATGCAGCAGAAGCTCTGATTGAACAAACTACGGCACTCAACAAACGAGTGGAAGCAATGAAGCAGGTGTGTGGTCTCTTGTTAATTGTTCCTATTTGGAAATAGACTGTTTAAATGTGACCATTTAAGATTATTTGCAGTGGCCTAGGGAGCAAAACGAATTACACATCCAGTTAAATGTTTAATAAGGCGTTGAATTAGTTGATGTAATCTGTGTGTTGTGTGTGCGAGAGAGAGAGAGAGGACCTTCAGCTTTTTGCATATACCATATTTTTCGCCCTATAGGACGCACTTTTTCCCCTCCAAAAATGAAGGGGAAATGTGTGTGCGTCCTATGGGGCGAAATCAGGCTTTCGCTGAAGCCTGGAGAGCGAGGGGGATCGGTGCGCACCGACCCCTCTCGCTCTCCAGGCTTCAGGAAGCTATCCGCTAGCCGTGGGAGACGCAGCTCTTCCACGGCTAGCGGAAAGCTTGCCTGCACCCAGAAGCTTGGGGCGCGCTGAGCTCAGCACGCCCCAAGCTTCGGGCTTCGCGCAGCGCTCCGCTAGCCGTGGGAGAGCCGCGCGACTTCGCGCAGCTCTCCCACGGCTTGCGGATAGCAGCCTGTTCTGGGGGCTGGGGTCGGGGGAAGCTCGGGCTTCCCCAGCCCCGCACCTGGGGGGGAAATAAAAAATTTTTTCTTCATTCCCCCCCCACCCCAAAAAAAACTAGGTGCGTCCTATGGGCCGGTGCGTCCTATGGGGTGAAAAATACGGTAAATTTGAGACCAGTTTAAGTAATGTAGTGTTGTATAGTCTTGCAAAGTGTTGTATAGTCTTGCAAAATCTTATATATCCACACTTGAAGCCTAGAGATTCTTTTGCATTATGTTCAACTTTGATCAGATTTTCCTTGTATCAATCATATGTAAATATATTAAATTTTTGGCAGGCACTCGGACTTTTAAACTCATTTTTCTGCAAAAAAAAATCTCTCTAACACATATTTTAATAATAATTATAATTATCCAGTGGTACCTCGGGTTACATACGCTTCAGGTTACATACGCTTCAGGTTAAAGACTCCGCTAACCCAGAAATAGTGCTTCAGGTTAAGAACTTTGCTTCAGGATGAGAACAGAAATTGTGCTCTGGCGGCACAGCAGCAGGCCCCATTAGCTAAAGTGGTGCTTCAGGTTAAGAACAGTTTCAGGTTAAGTACGGACCTCCGGAAAGAATTAAGTACTTAACCCAAGGTATCACTGTAATTTATTTATACCCCACCCATCTGGCTGGGTTTCCCTAGCCACTCTTTTTTAAAGTTCAATAGACTCTTTTACCTGCTGGGACTTGCATCTGAACACTCTACTGTTGTTTTCCATTAGTATTCTTGTCCTTTATTTAATTTTTTAAAATTAAACTATATTTATGCCTTGCCTTTCCATCCATGAAGGCTCATAAATGGCTTAATAGTATTAAATCTAGAATTAAAACAGCAGTATAAAAAGAGAATAACAATCTACAGCACAACATGGGCATAGAAACAATCAATAAGCTGTTATCTGCAAAGACCTTTCTAACAGTAGCATTGCAACCTGCTACCTAAACCACATTCATGAAAGAACCAAGTGAGCTCTTTGGAAGGTATTTTTGCTGAGAGAAACATATATACTGTGCTTATTTTGCATATATTTAAGTTATAATCTAATAGTCACAGGCATTTTTGTATGTGTTTCATTTCCATCCATCACCCCTGCCGCACCCATAGGTAAGTATGCCAGCCAGCTGAAAATAACAGTTCATACATGTACCGTAACATAAGGGTGGTGGGCCCATTCTGATGGCCAACCCTCAGAGACTGATGGAACCTGATGCATGTCTGAATGCTCTGGGGGATTTTTCTAGTAGAGAAAGGTGATCTTGTTGAAGCCCTGGTCTTGCTATGGCAGTGTTTCTCAAACTTGAGTCTCCAGCTGTTGTTTTACTACAAATTCCATCATCCCTAGCTAGCAGGATCAGTGGTCAGGGATGACCCAAGTTTGAGAAACACTGTGCTATGGAATGGCAAGAAGAATGGGTGATTGACACAATCATTCCTGAGTGTCCTCTCCAGTGTTTTGGAGCTCAAGCAGCTCCTTGATACTCTGAGAGGCTCCAGACTATAAAGCAGGCTGGACAAAGACTGGAGAACAAGTGGCGCAAGTTTTGCTGTGAAGCTGACCAAACAGAGTGTAGGCAGCATACAGCTGCAGACACTGATTTAACCACGTTTTGCAGATGAACATTTTAATACTGTGTATGCCAATAAGGTGGTTTTTGAGCCAAAAAGCTACAATGATGTTCAGAATTTACCTAACCACCAAGCTGGTATAAAGCTATGAACTCCGAGATAGCTTCTTTAAAAGAGCATAACACTTGGTCTCTTGTACCACAAACCCCAGATATGAGACTTATTGATTCTAATTGGGTTTATAGAGTTAAAGTGAATGACAAAAATGAAGTTGTAAGGTACAAGGCTAGATTAGTTGCTAGGAGTTTTCAACAAATTCCAGGCGAAGATTATGATTTGTGTTATTCACCAAGTGTAAAATATGAAACAGTTAAGCTTTTGTTAAAAGATGCATCACAACGTGGACATTCTGCTTATCACTTAGATATAAAAACTGCATATTTGTTTGCAGATTTAAAAGAACAAATTTTTATGCGTGTTCCTGAAGGCATAGACGCCGCTGAAGGTTTGGTATGCAAATTAAATAAATCCCTTTATGGTCTGCACCAAAGTGGAAGGAATTGGCACCAAACTTTAACAAAAGAATTGCTGAATATTGGTTTTTCACAAGGAAAGGCAGACAATTGTGTGTTCATAAAGGAAAGGGCAAACTCTGTAACAAAAATATGTGTGTATGTAGATGACGTGTTAATTTCTACAAAAACTAAACAGGAATATGAACAGGTAGTATCACAGTTACAGAAGAAATTTGATGTGGTGGAATTAGGCATGGCTAAAAATTACTTATCCATGCAAATTGAGAAAGGCAAAAATGGATCTTTTCTGGTTCATCAAACTGCAAAAATTGATGATCTGGGTGAAATGCTATGTTTAGAAAATGCAAATGGGAAGGAAACGCCCATGGTGTGTGGTTTCATCTTTACAGGTGAAGATAAGCCATTTCCTAACAAAACTTTGTATCGTTCTGCTATAGGCAAGCTAAATTTCATTCAAAGAATCTCAAGACCAGATATAACTTATGTTTTTCACTTTCTTGCAAAATTTGTGGAAAAGCCCACTACGCAATGTTTCTCTGCTCTTAAGAGAGTGGTAATGTACCTTAAACATACCAAACATTATAGGTTGCAGTTTACAACAAGTATTGACAAAGGTTTTGAAATTTTCTGCGATGCATCTCATGCAGTAGAACAAAATAATTGCAGGGGCGTGCCTGGCATGGTGTTTTGTTATAACAGTTGTCCATTTGAATGAAAGTCCCAGACACAAACCATTATTTGTCTCTCCACAACCGAGAGTGAATTATGTGCATGCATTCAGGCCACTCGTGATGTAGAATGGTATCTGCAAGTATTTGCAGACCTGCAGATGCAAGTAACACTACCAGTAAAAGTTTACCTTGATTCCCAGAGTGGACTCGCTATCCTATGTTCAGAAACCAATACGCAGTGCACTAGAGTCTTAAGATTGCATTTACAGTTTGTAAAGAAACTAATTGCTGATGAAATGATTGTATTTCAATATGTTCCAGGTGACAATCAAATTGCAGACATTTTTACTAAAGCACTTCCAAAGGTTACACATGAAAGACATGTACAAAATATGCTTTATGTTTTTGTTCCACAATGATGAACCGCAGGGGAAATGTTGAATGGTTTCTTTAAATGTAAAGGTTCTTCATTGTTCCATCCGATGTGTATGTCTTTAAGGGGCCAGAGCAAAATAAGGAGACCCAGCTTTACAGCTGTGAATCATAGCAGGTGCTGCTGAGTTGTATTGATTAAGCTGTGTCAGCAATTGGGTGTAGTATATAAGGAGCAGCACCTAGCTCTCCCATTACCCTGGGGGATGGGTTGGTGGTTGGACCTGGTTTGTTGTTGATGTATTTAGTGTATAAGGAGTTTTTGTTTTTGTTATTAAAACCTTGTTTAAGTTATTTTTGAGTCCCTTTTTAATGCATGGTCTCCCGAGCAAGCTCTCTGCAGTGCCACTATACTGCAAATAGCCAACATTAACAACCCTTTCCCCCTTAAGATAAGGGGGAGCGTTTGGTGAAAGGATACTTCAGAGTACAACCCTGAGTACAATTATGGAAATACCACAATATTATGCAGTACAGCATGCCAATTATGAAAAATTTGCCTACTTTCAGTACCAAGAAGAAATTCAAGAACTTAATGAAGTAGCAAGACATAGGCCCCGCTCTTCACTGGTACTGGGAATCCAGCAAGAAAACAGGCAGATCAGGGAACTACAGCAAGAAAATAAAGGTGAGTAAGCATTCACTCTAGAAGGAGATTCTGCACCATTTACATAGTTTATAATGTAAGTTCCAGTAACTGAATCCCAAGAATTGTTCATTAACTTTAAAACATTTCATTGAATAATCATTTGTTTACTACCACTGTTACTACTACTACATCTGAGGTGCATATACACTGTTAAGCCATTAAAAGGTCTGAGGCAATAGGTGGATGCTGCTTTGAAGATAGATGGGATGGGAGCCTGATTGGACTGAAAGCTCTAAGGAAATGTGTCAAGATTCTGCAGATGCGTGGATAGCTAGAGACTAGTAGTAAAAATGCTCCCTACCCAAGATAAAAGCAGATGATGATGATGATGATTTATTTGTAACCTTTCCATCTGATGGGGTCAGACACAATACAGATTGGATGGGTAAAAAGTTCATGGACATATGCTTATAATGTATTAATGCTAACAACTAGATATTTGGGTTATGTATGCAAGTGGTGAAGAAAAATACATTCAGTTGAACATTTCAATGGTTAAATACAAGGTAATTTAAAACATTGATAGTCACCTCCCTAGTGCCTTTAAAAAAATTTTTTTTTATGTCCCACTGTTACCAGTTGTTGGTGCCCTTAGAGTAGTTTTGTTTCTTGATGATTTTGTGTGTTGTGTTTTTGTGTATTTTTTTCAGGGTGTAGTTTTTTGTCCTGGTGACCTTTTTGTATGTACTGTACAAATTATACAAATAAAATTTGGATTAAAAAAGTAATTAACACTTTGAAAACCTACTTAAAAATACTTTTTTTTTCTGTGTGACAGTATTGGTGTAACTCTTATCAGATTGAATAGAAACTGCTTCCACATCTGAGTTTTAGGAACTAGGGGTAATAGTGATGGAATGATTGAACATGTGGTCTACTGTTGCTAAAGAAATTATCTGAATACAGAAAATTTAAAAGGGGGGTAATTAGCAAATCTTCTACAGGTAACTTGCAACTTGCATGCATTTAACCTGTGCACATTCAGCTTTACGCGCTTGGGGGAGGGAGAAAGGGACAGGAGGCCGATGTCTGGGGAAAAATAACCCACCGTTGAACCCAATGTGCTTTCACCAGTGGTGTCCAAACTTTTTTCAAAGAGGGCCAGATTTGATGAAATGAAGGGTCATGAGGGCCAACCAAAGGACCAACCAAAGTTGTTAACCTTTTTTTTAGGATTGAAATTGAGCCCCAGGAAATAAACTGCCACAGGGGCCAGATTAAACTGACCACCGGGCCGGATTAGACCCCCAAAACGGACTTTGAGCATGCCTGGCTTTCACTATATGCAATTTTGACTTTACACTCTAGCCCTGGAACATAACCCCCATGTAAGAGTTGCCTGTAGGTAGTTGTTTGGTTTGATTAAACATGTTGCCACTTACATGAATGGTGTACCAACACACGTTTGCTTATCTGTTTGTTGTAGTCCTAGACACTATCAATTCATAGTATCAGAAATTTGGGTTAGTTTCATATATCCACCCCCCCCAATTAATTAATACTATGGCAACTATAATGAAATGGGTAGTTCTCCAGTAGTGTAACCAGTCTGAGCAATATAGTGGATTGTTTTATACAACATTAGCCTGCTCAGAGCAATGCACATTACTAACATTGGGCAATTCATTTCCATGGGGCTACTCTGAGTATTCAGTATTGTATTCAGTTGGATACAACACAAGCAGAAGCACCTGCTATGTTTAGAGAGTTTCCTGTGCACAAGTGAAATGTGTTGAACTTATTTTGACAGAATTACGTACTTCTCTTGAAGAACACCAATCTGCCTTGGAGCTAATAATGAGCAAATACAGAGAGCAGATGTTTAGGCTGCTCATGGCCAGTAAAAAGGATGATCCAGGTATAATAATGAAGTTAAAGGAGCAGCACTCTAAGGTAGTATGCCTTTTAAAATTCTCTAAGCCTTTTGCAGTACTAATGTTTTACCTTCTGAGTTATGCACCTTCAGTAGTTTTAACTTCAGACTTTACTTTTTTACTCTAAGACTAGAGCTGCATGGCCAAGACTCATTTCCAGATCTTCACCCTCTTCTACTGCACATTGGCATTGGGTAAAAAAGATTTGCAAAGTAGTAGGTGATAGCAGGAGGAGTACTTAATTATTTTCCCATCAACTACTTTTGCTTGTAACTCCTGATTTCAGGTAGCCAGGATTCCAGACCTGTACACATCTAAACAAGTTTAACTGCATACCATGAATAGGTTTGATGGCATACTGAAGACATATTGAAGACTACTGAATAACCTGAAGTAGTCAATAGAATGCTAACTCTCCAAAGAGCTAAATGGAAACTTTTCAGTTTGTCTAAAGGCCAGTGTATTAGATAGAAAAAGGCTTCTGAAAACAGTTGGCAAACAAATCCAGTAGTCTTTGTTAATATAATAGTAAAACCTAATTCAAAATCCTTTTTTAAAATTAGTATATTTCAGCCTGTAAAACAAAACATAAACAGCAAATATATATTAAGTTTTTGTGTTCTAAATATATAACTTCCTCTCTGCCCAAAGAACTGGGTTGTTTTTCTCAGGGCTGATAGCTCAATAGAGTGCTGTTAGCCTACGTACTTGCTTACTGAAGCTAATTTAACAGATTTGTTTCCTCAGTTTCCAATCACCTTTTGAATGACTTATTTAATGTTCCTCCTGAAATGATGTGCTACATGTTCATTGCAAAGTGAGATGAGGTGCTTTAATTGCTCAAAAAATGGAGTGCAACTCCTGTTTGAACACTATGTCATTGATACCCCAAGACCCTTGCACATAGGAGTATAGTGTACCATCATGGAGAAGGCAGTTGTTCATAATGTGTGTTCTCCTGAAGGTGGTTCTAAAACCGTGGTTCCCAACGTGGGACACATGCCCCACCGGGGGGGGGGGGGTAATTCGAGAATGAGTTAGACCAAGTTAATGGCCTTTTAGGCTTCCTCCACGATATACAATATCTTTATTGTCATTGTCCCATACAGAACAATGAATAGGAGTTCACTTTTTGAATAATAAGAATTATATGTCATGGGAGGGCATCAGGATTTTAGAGATGCTTAGGTGGGGCATGGCCAAAAAACCGATTGGGAACCACTGCTCTAAAAAAACCCTGCTGGATATGAAGAATGGGAAGACTACCTGTAGTTTATTGTGTTGGAAAGACTTATATAAAAAAATATTGAAATAAAAAAATCTTATGCTTTTCATAAACTTTTATTATTTACAACTCAGTTGGCATTTTAAATTTGAAATGTTACTAGTGGTTTTTACTTTTATTCTTTTGGTTTAGGAGCTACAAGAACATGTGGACCAAATCACAGAAATGGCAGCAGTCATGCGAAAGGCCATTGAAATTGATGAACAGCAGGGTTGCAAAGAACAGGAACGCATTTTTCAGCTTGAGGTAAATATTCAATTCTATGGAAATTCAAAAAATAAGTGATACTTCTAAACTGATGAATTCAGATCATTAGTAAATGACAGAAGAATTCATTTTCGGAATTATTTTCCGAATGAAATTGGTCACACAATTTACCTTAAAATGCATTTTTAATTACATTTGGTAGTCATACCTTATGTGGTAAACAGACCTACTTTATTGTGTAAAAAACACCATTTGGCATCTTGATTCTAGGGGCTGGCTTTCATTGCAGTGGCCCAAGTAATGGCTTCTGCTGCTGCTGCTGTAAGCTTATTTTTAGTCTTATGATTGTTTCCAGTAGCATATTCTGGGAAAGAATTTATTGTGTAACCTCATGGGAAACCTAGTTCCTTAAAGCATGTTCTGGAGTAGAGCTCAAGACAACATAGGAATTGGACTTTACCTGTGTTTTCCAAATTTTTTCCTTTTAAGTGCTTGAAATAATTTAATATATTCCCTCCATAATGTCTTCTCTGTTCAAATATTATTTCATGCTTTACTGTGCTACATTTAAAAGCATTGTGTCCTTGCTTACAGCAGGAAAACAAAGGACTGAGAGAGATCCTGCAAATAACTAGAGAATCATTCCTGAATCTCAAAGATGATGCATCAGAAAGTACATCTCTGTCAGCATTAGTAACAAACAGCGACTTGAGCCTGAGGAAGAGTTGAAGATCCTATGGAAATTTTGTATGGCCAACTGCACATAAGATCATAAAGTATCAGGGTTCACTTGTCAAGTGGCTGTTTCCCAATGCAGCCTTGACAAGATAATGCATTCTAAATTAGATGACAATTTGATACTTTTTATACCATGTACAGTACATTCAGATTTATTTAAAATTGTAATTACTGCCCAATACTGATTACCGGAAACATAATTTCTGAAGGAAACTAGCTAACATCCGTTAAAGTTTTAAAAACAGCACCGCCCGGAACAGCTGCAAAACTACACACATGTATTTAGAAGGTTCAAACTACTCCTATAGGGTGCTTAGAAATATACATAAAAACAGAAGTTCCTGCTCTCTTGGGCACATTCACAACATCATCTACCCACATACTTATTCCATTCATGGACTGAACTTGAAGAAAATCAGTTGTTTGGACCGTACTGATTGTCTTACACCTTTAGTCTCTATCTGCTTCAAGTCATGTGACATTTTACAAATGGGTTGTATTTAAGAAAAATAAAAAACAAGGTACCAAATAAATTAATGCATTGTCCTTTTTTTTTAGGTACAATTCTTTTGTAAAATATTGTAATCTCTCTAGTGAGGAAGGGAGAAAGTTGGGTTTTTCTTGCTTGCAGGAAAGATTGCAACAATTGTTAATACCTGTACACATTGGTAATCTAAATAGAAAGGAATGTTGGGAGTCCAGGGAAATAGATCTATTTCACTTCACCAAATAGTGGGTTTTCAGCTGTAAATAAATCAAACCTAGCAAGCCCCACACCTGCTTGTAGACAAGGAAGTAATCTAATGAACTTGAGATTCTAAATCCACTATCATGTGGTCTCTATACTATATTCATTTTTCAAAGAAATATTTTTCTAGATCAATAATAATTTTGCTCAGCTATTTAGTGTGAAGCACTTCATTTTCTTCCACTATAAATTAAACACAGAGGCTTGGATTCAGTAGCTGTCTATGGCGTTAATGTGTGTGCCCTCTAGGTTTCCCACTACAGCTCCCTATACCCTCTGGGAAGTCACTTCTGAAGAGTTTTCTGAACGGTGTGTGCAGGGCTGCAGCCGAGGGTGGCCAGAATGTGTTCCCGTTCCCCTGGGGTTTCCAGTTGTGCATGACACACTTTGGGATCCAAGCCTAAATACAGAAGCTACTCATCTTCTAAAACAAGTTGAAGTTTCAGTAATATTTTTTTGAAGCACCTGGAACATTATTTCTGTGTGTCAGTCTTCTGACAGATGAGAGATGCCAAAAAATAACATTGTGGAACAATAAGATTAACTTGCTCTGATATACACAACTTTGACCATTTGTCAACCAGAAACAAATATTAGATATTTGATAAGAAATCCCATTTTTCAAGCAGCATGATGGGCTGCAGTTATTTCTTAAGTACTTTGCAGAACGCTGTGTCTGAGAGGTATGCTATTCTAGTAGTCATGTACCAGACAAAGGAAATTTTAAAATGAACAGTTTACGGAGGCAAAGCTTCAGAAGCAGCATGAGCTACATCCTTGAGGAAATCTAGAGCTAAATCTGGACAATTTAGAAACATGTAGAAAAGCGGTACTTTGCCTCAATTTATAAGCAAAGTAGTAGCTACGCTTTATTCATAATACAATATTTTGTTTAGATTGTATTCACAAATGGTACAGTGCACACTTATTTAATAAAACTACTTCACCTGCACTATGAGCCCAAATAGCCAGTTGGAATATCTGTTTAATCCTAAACATTTGTAATGACATATCTAGGCATAGGGCTGGATTTTTTTGATGCTAAAAACATAGCTTTGAAAATACAAGCTGGTCAAAATATGTGACTTCTATTTCAACTTTATTTTAAACATTTTGTCCTTTATCTCAATCTGTTTAGTCTGCTCTGGTATATGCGGTTAATTGTGGTAGGCACTAAAGCAACTTTAAAATAATTGACAAATGAACGTAATTTATTATTACCGCAATGGAAAGGAACTTGTTTATAATTTGCGCTTCGAAATTTTATAATCTGACTTTCTCAGACAAATTGTTTGTCAAATAAATATTAGCCTAAGCACAAACCTTTTGTATACATTTTTTTTCTTCCAGGTGGACAAGAGTGGAATTTCTGGAAGCTCTACTTAATCCTCTCTGTAAATTATGAAATATTTATGTAAATAGTTTAACAAAAACTTATTTTCATTATATTTGGAGTGTAAAATACTAACTTCTTGCTCTCAAAATGCAGTCATCTCCAAGCTTGTGGAATGGTTGTAGTAGTAAACTCACTAGTAATTCTGTACGGAAAAAGAGGCTTGACTAATGATTTGTAACTGTAAATTATTGTGATTGTCTAGTTCAGATTTCTGGTTGTCTTGAGTATTATTCTTTTGCATGCCCAAAGCAGCATAACTTTCTTGGAATGTGGCATGAGTTTTCCTTATATCATTATTTTTGTAAGGCAGATGCTTGTAATGACCTTGAAATGCATCCTGTACAGTAAACTTATTTTTGCCAGTATTTTGGGTCAGGTAGATGTTTCAGCCATTCAGGTTTTGTCAAATACCAACATGAAGTGTCTGTTCTGGTACAGCTGCCTCAGCTCCTAGCAACCAGCACCCCCTGGCCAGCTCCAGAGGCACCATTCGTCTGGGGAGCTTATAGCCAGAGCTGCTGCAATGAACAGCTGTGCAAGCCTTTGGGAGGCAGAGACTCAAGAGGGCATCAGAGGAGGAAAGAGGGACAGAGGCCAGTGTTGCCATGGCCCTCCTGACCATTGTACACTGGTTGGAAACCACTGCTTTAAGAGGCCCATCAGGTTGAGAAGGACCTTTTTTTTCAGTGGTGGCACCAGTTGCAGTATTCCATTGTCAAGAAAGCAGCTGGAAAACGCATGCAGAGACCACAGCCCTGTTTACCATAACACCTCCCACCCCACCCCAGATACTCACTAACCTGCTGTGGCCTGGAACTGGTTGTATAAAGTGCAGGTGGCCAATTGCTGAATGGACACAGCTATGGAAAAACTCCATCAGAACCCGGTGGCTGCCCACAAAAACAAGCCCTGCCACAAGTGTTAGGCAGCCACCACTGGCGCTGCCAAATGGACTTAATCCCTTTGGGTTACCCCTCAGAAGAGTCACAGGACAGGAGTGCCACTCATCTTGACTTCCAACCACCATGAAGTTTGCACCAAGATAGACTAGGGGGCTGAGGTCAGCAGGTTCAGATGAACCTGGGTGAGAGGCAGGAGAATGAGAGGGGTTGAGTGGGTAGGTGTGATGGAAGAAGAGGTGTGCGGTACAATCCGTATGCAATTATAGCATTGATATTGTTCCATAGCACTTTATGAGATGTTGCTAGCATGTTACTCACTAGCACACACCTTGTAGCATTTATATGAAATCCCAGTTTGCATATTGTAATGGATTGTATGTTTGGGGGGGGGGGGTCATGGGTTGGGTTGTTTTTACCATTTTAATGTTTTTTATATCCTGTAACCCCCTTTGGTACTGTCTAGTAAAATGTTGATAAATACAAAATAATTCCACCTTTCTGGTTTCCCCCTCCAACCCCTTTAGTGGTCCCCTAAAGACTTTTTATTCTGCTAAATGTTTTAATATGCACTTTATCTGATGTTAAAACAAATGAACGCCATTTTGTAAACATTTTTATTGCAAAACTGCCTTTGAGAAATTGCCCTAAAATGTTGGGATAGAAATAAAGAAGTACGACCAGTAACCATGAAATGTAATATATGTAGTAGATTTAAGGACAGAGTTTGAGAGGCCATCAACTAATACCCCAATGGCACACTGATGCGCATTTGATCCTAATGCGCAGGAAGTTTCTATACAGAAGCCAGTCACTGCTGTAGTAGTTACATATTCACTTACCTTGCAAAGCAGGAATTGTATTTGCCATTCCTTCACTTGGAAAAACACATATAAGCTGCCTTCCCTTCAAGATAAAAAACATGAGACAGAATGAACTCAGACACACAGATGAGTCCCTAAAGGGTAACACACACAGGGAGATCATACAAATAGCACACCTTTCAAGTACACCTTTATTATAAAAAGGAGTAGAAAATGGGTTTGTTTTTTGTTTCTTTGCATTGTAAATAATGGCAGTTATAAAAACCAAAGCAATTGGAACTAGTTGCTTTATAACAAAGTGTGGCCTAAGCAGCCAATATGCAGCAATTAATTCTCAGTACAAAAAGGTCAGAGAGCTAGTAAAATGAAGCTGCCCTTGACAGAAGGGGACACAGTATATTTCATCTACAGCTTCTACTTTTCAACATTAAAATGAAAGTAATCTCTGTCTATTTGCCAAGAACTATGGACTTTTCCATCTTCTTTCCACCACCAACTCTGTTGCTTTCAACTGTCAGCCTTCTTGCATCTAAAAATGGTTTAGGTTAAGTATCAAGGTCTGTTTGACACAAGAATGCCCTACAGCTCTTCAAAAAGCTAAATAGCTTAAGGTGGAATCCAGCACACCACAAATTGACTTCACCTTCTTCCCCCTCACTGCAGCCCCCGCCCCCATGCACACAGCCCAATCCATGCATTCTCAGAACAGATTATGGGGGTACTGCAGTGAGTTTGAGAAGGTGAAGTCCCATAGTGCAAGCAGACGTTCATCTTGTTCATGGATATAATCCACAGTTTGAACATATGTGGGAGTTGCTGGGATGAAACCTGGAGATCCACACAGTACCTTTAAATTCCTTGATACATACAAGGTGAATGAAGCAGTATCTGCCTTGTATCCCCTTCCTGATGTACAGCGCACATGAGGCCTTGTTATGCGAGGCAGGGAAGAGGTGAATATCAGAGCCAGGAGAGGAATGGACCGGCTCATCTCCTGCACACGGAAAACTGTAAAAGGTGCAGTGCATCTCCTCTGGTTTCTACCCAGCAGCCTTAGGGGCCTGAGATACAAATAAAGCATATTTAAAATTAGGTAAGTTCAGATATGCACCTTCCAAGATGTGCTCTTGTTTAGAAGGTGTCCTACCACAGCAGCTTTCCTGGACTAGGAGTGAGTGCAGTCCATGCAGTCTGTGCCAACAAACCTCCTACCCACCCTGCAACACCATTATTGCTAGAATATACAAATGGCACAAGCAGCAAGCGACTCGAGCATCAACATGGAATGCAACAGATCCTCACTATACAGACAAGTTGTGTTTGAACACAAAGGGGAGATAATAGAAAACAGTCTTCTGTTCTTACACCACCTGTCTGCAAAAGAAAATACATATTATGCACATAGTGCCAGGTTCTGCAGTGATGGGGCTCCTCCACCTTGGATAGCTGTGTATGTACATCTACAGGCACAGCTTTTAACGCTGCAACAATGAGAGGACAAACACACATGCTCAAGTTCTCTCTGCTGGCTGCCTTCTGAAGATCAGGAACCCCAATTCAAACACTGGAGGAATCTTAAAACCCTAACCAAGCCAGACACCTCCACCAGTTTCCTCTCCCACGATTAAAAAAAGCCCTGAGAATAAGACTTCAGCCTGGGTGCACATTGACTAATGCAATCACACACTTCAGGTTTAAACTGGATGTTTATCATGCTTCACGGCACTTTTGCTCCCTGCACCCACACAAGTGGTTTGAGCAGTTCATTACAGGAAATGTGTTCGTCAAATAAGGTACTGGTATAATGTTCAACTAACTGCTTTACGTATAACTGCATTACTCCAAGCCAAAGGGTTATTATTGGGGAGGGCCAATTGATAAGCTAAAGAGGCACAGAGGCAGGGGCAACTCTGTGCGCCAGCTGCAAAGCTAGGGGTAAATGGGTATATGGCCAGAAGCAGGCGTTTAAATGGTTCCGTTTTCTCCTCTGCCTGCAGAATCCTTTTCTGTGAACTCGGTGTCCCAAATAGAGGCTTGGGGACCACCCCACTCCCACTCCTCTAAGCCTAGAAGTGACACCATGGCTGAGAGTGATCTGGTCTGGACTCCTAGGCAAATTACCCAAGATCTGCCCTTCTTTCCCCACCCTCAAGGCTCTGGAAGCTGGCTGCCCTAGATGTCTGTTACATCTTTCTGAGCAGCAGTGCCCCCAAATGCCTGCAAACTGGGTTTAGGGGTTTCTTTTCTTCTCAAATATTAAAAAAGGAGAGAGAGAAAAAATCCAGTGACAATTAGTGTAGGGGCAAACACTTCAATACGAAAAGGAACTTAAGCAACTGAAGTGCTGTAAAGGCTACTCATTGTGTCTTGCACCACTGATCCTAATAAAAACAACCTTCCATTTCAAAGTGCATCAAGAGACTATCCTTTTTTCCAGCCTTAGCAGCCACCACTCACTACAACCAGATTTACAGCCTAGTAGAAAATTTAGCGCTAAACCTTCAGAAAGCTTTTTCTCCTCTTGGGTATTGGAATCAAAATTACTTGATTTTCTCACACACAGAAAGTGAATGCAAGCTAACCTGTTAAATGATCAAAAAATATTTTAGTACAGCTTGACATCTTAAAGGTATTGGCTAGCAGCAACTGTGCAAGTTTAGAATTAATAGTGCCACAGTCAGCAAGAGGCTGTTTTTCCATATGCAGTCAGTCTCCAATTATTCTCCCCCCTTCCTGCCATAGACTGTGCAACAGAAATGACCGTTCAAAATGTGGCACTTGTTAAAAGGGTGTACTGTGCTTGAAGAGAACCATGCGTGTGCTTGAAGTGTCCATTTCCATCTCTCAAGATTTTGAAGTTGCACACCTGTCCATTACATTCTCTCCCCATCTTACCCACCCATCCCCATATTTTCACACATTGCACATACGCATACTCCATCCTTGTGGCGAACTACCAACAGATGCAAGTGCCTGTGTGCCACAGCAAACCATCAAGCAGGACTACTTTAAGTAAACTAGTGTTGATCTTCTTCCAGTTCATTCTTATTTCTGTTTAGCAAGGCAAGGTGACAGAGGAAGTTCTCAGCACCACTGGGTGTCTGCTGGCTCCAGAAAAATCTCTGCCTGCATTTCCCAAGTCTTCCCAGCTGCATGACAGTTTACAAGAGTAGCGGTGTTCTCTCCCCTGCTGGCTGCTCTTTTTGGAAAAAGTCCTTGATCTGAGATAGCTTGCTATGAATTCTTTCTTTCAAGGGAGGGACGTGGTGACTTGGATCTAGGATGTTAGTTATCCTGCGCTCTCTTTCACGCCTCCATATCAGGTAGGGATGTGGTGGAAAAGGGGCTTCGCGTTTCTCTCTGCGCAGCTGTATCGTTATTCCTCCAATGGCCAGCATCGCCCAGACCGCCAAGAGTATGATGTCTGCAAGATGAAGAAACCAATAGGTAAGTCTCGACTGAAGTGGGATCTCTTCCTTCTCTTTTAGTAAGCCAGCCCAAGTCCTCATTTACTTATCCAGGCCAGTTTTCCTTTACAGTTTCTAAAACCTACACCTGTTTTTTTAAATCCCTCTTCACATCTACTTTCCCCCACAAAGGCCTTGGAACTGCTACTCTGCCCCACACCCTCGAGCGATTTAAGATGTTCCATAAAAGTGTGAAAAGGAAGACCAGTATGCTGCCGAGTCTTGTCTGAAGGGACAAGGTACGCAGTATTCATCTCCAACCAGGACAAAACACATGCACCTCTCTCCTTCCCCTTCGGCCAAGACCCAGAAGCTTGGGAAAGAGCAGCATAGTCATTCATGCGTTTGGAACATCCAATGCAGCGCTAAGCTAAGTGTATCTGCAACGGCACTCTTCAGGCACAATTCTTTTCTGTCCTCTACTTTAAGCTTTTTGGAAGCATTCATGGTTGCTACAAACTTCTCTTCTGAGGTTCTCAGTTGCAAGCCTCCAATCAAGGAACTCATCTGAAGACACACTTACCGTTACGCTGAAAGGGCACATTGGTGAAAGCTCTTTTGAAGTTTTCATCTAGAATCCTCCGGAGCAGGTCGATGCTAATGTAAGAGAGACTTGTGTACAAGTAACATGCTGTAGCCAAGACTATGGTGTAGGACCCTATGATGCCACATGTCAAGATGTTCAGCTAAAGAGAAAGAACAGACTGTGAATGGCTTTGAAAAGAGGCTGGCCACTATCTATGAAGGCAGAAGATTGCAAAGCACCATCTAGACAGCTACAAATTCCCTATCCCCAAATTAGTGCTTTGTAGGGTTTTTTTGAGCATGGCTTTCATAAGGGAAAACTACTGTAGGTTCCACTGTAGCTCATGAAGGCATACAGAACAAAAAGTTGAATTGCTTAGAAATGCAGTTAAGCAGAGGCAAAATGTAGCCAGGCTGAGCCAATGCAATTCACCAAGGATGGGTCATTATTAACAGAAACTGTCCTCCAGGTATACCTGGAGCAGCGAACAATTACAGTAATAAAAAATTAAACATAAAATAAAGTGGGGCTGTGGGAATTGTGTGGGTGGGTGGGGGAAAGAAAACATAATGAAACAGGAATTCATATATCAAAAGCTTGCCTCCGGCAGCTTGTCTCCCTGGATATGTATCATATGCATAACAGAATGTAAATGAGAGGGAGTAAGCAAGCACTAGGGACGCGGGTGGCACTGTGTGTTAAACCACAATGCCTAGGACTTGCCAATCAGAAGGTCAGCAGTTTGAATCCCCGCGACGGGGTGAGCTCCCGTTGCTCGGTCCCTGCTCCTGCCAACCTAGCAGTCTGAAAGCACGTCAAAATGCAAGTAGATAAATAGGTACCGCTCCAGCGGGCAGGTAAGCGGCGTTTCCGTGCGCTGCTCTGGTTCGCCAGAAGCGGCTTAGTCATGCTGGCCATATGACCCGGAAGCTGTACACCGGCTCCCTCGGCCAATAAAGTGAGATGAGCGCCGCAACCCCAGAGTTGGTCACGGCTGGACCTAACGGTCAGGGGTCCCTTTACCTTTACAAGCAAGCACTGGTTTTTCACAACTATGTCCAAAAGGGGGAAAGTTTAGTTACAGCATTCTGTCCACCATCACTCCAAAATGTACAAGAACAGAAGCTGAAACAATTACACTTTAAAAAATCAAATAAGGTACTTACAACTCTGGGGTATCCAACAAAAAGTATTGGGACTATCAAGGCAATGCAACAGAAGGTCACCCAGAATACTGCATCATCTTGGAAAACTTTATAGTCTCCTGTGAAGGTCAAGTCAAGTCAAATCATTTTATTATAGTCAATGACCAGTATCAAGACAAAAACACCAATTACAAAATTTAAAAGCTCAAAACAAGATAAAATTGCATACACCTTAAAAAAAGCAGATCTGGGTGGTCATTTATCTGTCAGAAAGGAAACCCTTCTGACCTAGAAGTGTGTGAAGGCATCAGATTAGTGTGAGTTAAATGCAATTCCAGGTGGAATTCAAAGTCATTTATCAATGTTCAAAACCGTGCCCACATAGGGAAGTATCTTGCAATAGGCACCTGGAGGCCAATATCCCCAGTCCATTATTTTGAGAGAAGTAATTGCATTTAAAGGGATGACTGAGGAGCAAACTCATTGCCAAGTGTTGGCTGCAATACTTTCCTCAAAGTGGATTCTTGTTAAAACATTTGCTGAAGTATATCTGAACTCCTATTAGACAACCAACACAATATTCGCCATGTTTAGAAAAATAATATATAAAATATGACCATTCTTACACAAGTCCATTGTAAATAATACAGAATACTTTAGAGTGTAGCTTATTTTTATGTAGCAGTTCTGCCTCTACGACATTAGTATACAGGATAGTTTTGATGTAAGCCAGCTTGGGAAGGTTTTGCCCTGAAAGGTAGCACATACCGTATTTTTTGCTCTATAAGACTCACTTTTCCCCTCCTGAAAAGTAAGGGGAAATGTGTGTGCGTCTTATGGAGTGAATGCAGGCTGCACAGCTATCCCAGAAGCCAGAACAGCAAGAGGGATTGCTGCTTTCACTGTGCAGCGATCCCTCTTGCTGTTCTGGCTTCTGAGATTCAGAGTATTTTTTTTCTTGTTTTCCTCCTCCAAAAACTAGGTGTGCCTTGTGGTCTGGTGTGTCTTATAGAGCGAAAAATATGGTGCGTTTTTCAAAAGGATAGAAATTAAACTGGCAACACTCTGTTTTAATACAATATTTTTGCTCTCAGAAGTGCAACTGGTAGCGCCCTTCTCTTCAGACCTAAATCAGTGGAAAGCAAAAGACAGCAAGAGTAATCGCAACACAAAACTTCATAAAGTAACAAAGAATATTCACATTTCATAGGAATCATAACTATGTGACATACCTATTGGAGTGAAGAAAACTGTAGAGGCGACAAGGAAGCCCAGCACAAGCCCCACGATCAACATACAGAGGATCACAAAGCCAAATCGCCACCAGTAAGCGACCAAGAGGAGACCTCCAAGAACTCCAGCTACTGCAGTAAGACCAAGATTGACTGGGATGACCAAGGAAGGAGAAGAAGAGGGAAAAGTGAGGCTTGTTTCTCCAACATCACCCACGCCTGTGCAAATGCACTTTGATTTTTAAAAAATCCATGCCAACACATTCCCAGAAAGGTAGCTATGCCAGTTTGTTGTAACAAACAAGGAGCGTTAGAGAATGGTAGAAAGACTAACACATTAATTATGGGATACATTTTTGTGGACTAGCCTCTGGGGTCCTAAAAGACTTTGTTCTGCTAATCAAGATGATTCCTGCTGCATGTTGGACTCCTCCATACTGGTTTAAAAAGAAAAGGGAAATTAAAGGGTTGCTGATTAACCATGTTGCCCAAGTAACATTTTGAGTAACCACAGCAGTGCAGGATCATTCATGGGAAATCAGCAGCTACACAGCACTAGAAATAAGAATAGCAGAAATAGTAATAGTAACAGTAGTAGTAGTAGTAATGGTGGTGGTGTTTATTTATATCCTGTCTTTTTCCCTGACAGGGACTCAAGGCTGCTTCCAGATAAAACAAGAACAGCTAAACAATTATGAATGTAACATGTAGTTTTAGCTACTTATTACATGACTACCTGTGGTCCTCTCATTAATCAAGAAATAAAATAAATATAAATTTTTCAAGGCAACAATGGGATTTACATTTGCCTGAATTTTTCAACTGGCTATATGAGATTGTCAAATAGGATTCTGAAGCTACTAGCATAAAAAATTATCAGCCTCTATAAAGAACTGTGCATCTGTTACACTAACACAATTCATTTGGTATCATTCTGCTACAAAAAATGGAAATAAATCTGGGTTGTATCTTTCTGCATAGTTTATTACACTTTATCTTCTTTCCAGGATTTATTTTTGTTTTGCTCATCATGGCAAAGGGTAAAAAGTTATGCAACATACTGAATCTTACTGAAGCAAAGAAAATAGTAACTTAACCATCTATTTGGTTTTGAGTGTCAGCAGCCACCGCCCACATACTTTCACACATATCTTCACAGCAAGAAAGGTGAGAACCTTTGGTTTTTTTAAAAGTGAGAGTCAAAATATTCAGGAAACTGAGTTCTGAACTTGCACACGCCAGGCTGTTTCTAGAGGGCAATGGAACTGAAGTATACACACAGCCATGGCTTATGGACTCAAACTTCTGCAGCTCAAACCTTTAACTGAAAGAAATGCTGACAGATTTATAGATGTAATGTGGACTTTGCTTTCTCCTAGCACAAATATTAGTACCAGATTAAGGAAAAAACAAAAGTCATTTCTGTTGATTCTAATCCATCCTTAAATCTTAGCCATGAACTGTACTGCACCTTTCAGTATTACTTGAAAAGTCTTCTTTAGTCACTGTTCCGTAATTCAGGAGTGAGATGCAACTGTTAATCGCACCAGAAAGGTACACAGCATCAAGCTGGCCAGCGGATATTAACAAGAGCACCTATGTTCTAATGCTGGTCTTCAAACAAACATTCCCAAGGTATTAATAAATCCATACTTGTCTCTGCTTACCATCATAACTGAGAGCAGATGTTCTCGAAATGGTTATGAAGAAAAAGAATGCCGTAAAGATGAAGCCCATGAAGAATAAATCTAAGAGGGGAAATTAATATATTTTTAAAAACAGTATTTTCCGGGTTTTGAATGAGAAGGGTCTATTTGGATTTAAAAGAGTTCTACAAGTTCACCACCCCACAACCTGGGCATGTAACCTTTACTGCCATGACACCTATATACGTACAGGGACTCAAAAACTGATAAAGCCCACTGTCATGTCCTTGAATAAGCCAGTGAACACTTTTTGAGACAATGGAACTAGCAAGAGCCATTCTGCAACACCAATGTATTCCTGCAGCTATGTGATTTCACCTTTTTTTTTTCAAGGCAACAGTACACACACACACACACACACACACACACACTGGGTTGTAACTGACCATTTGATCATTCCTGATGCAGAGACACTGCAGAATTGCCTACCATAAAAGAGGCTACCTGTAACTTCCAGCTCTGGGATGGCCTTTGACCAAATCACCACAGATTAGTGACGTGGTACTCATACAGTAACACAGGGAGTATATAATTCTCTTTCAGTCTTTCTAAAATGGGTGGGGAGGTCTTCCTTTTCAGGTGCAACTAAAGCCACAATTGCACAGTGGCTTAAATTCAAGCCAGGAATGCAAATTAAGAGTTCTTGCATTCTTCTTACTTTTACCAACAGCTTGAACTTTCCGATGCCCCTCACATACAATACCAGGACCAGGGGAAGGGAATGTGGTTAGCCCAAAACAGCCTGATGAGCCAACCTCCCAGATACCTGGCTATAAGAATTAAGTATGCTTTCTATTATAATTGGGGAAGCGAATAAGCGGTGCCTCTGCAAAAATAAAGACACTGCTCTCTATTTTTGTAATAATAATGCTGATAATGATATTTATTAATTATTATTAATTATTTATTTTTATTATTATTATTATTATTATTATTATTTATTATTATTATTATTCTTATTTTATTTTATTTTTATTATTTACTTGTACCCTGCCCATCTGAATGGGTTGCCCCAGCCACTCAGGACAGCTTCCAACAAAATATAAAAAACAACGCATAGTAATGGAGCTCATCAATTAAACTAACCTGCAGGGATCAGAACTGGCAAAATGCAATTGTGCTGGGAACCAAGACTTTGTAAGACATACACTCTCTCCTTAACCAGTACCTGTTTTCCAGAATCTGTGTCCATGAAAACAGATGAAGAGGCCAAGGACAGCAAGCACGGTGAAAAATATTTTGGTGGAGAGTCTCTCTACAGAAGAAAAGAACATTTCATGATATGCCATTAAACAGGGGCAACGGTGTGCAACTTTCATCCAAGGAATGACCACCATGTCCCCTTATGTACATTGAGTTGGGAGGATGATATAGATACATTCCAATGACTTACTAAGAGAGGAACAGTTATCCACCGAGCCAGAAAGGCTACACATGTATGTATGAGCAGGCACATAGGCAGCAGAGGTATTCCACAGTGGATCCTTTACTATGACATTATAGATCACTCCTTGTCCAGGAAGCGAGGAGAAGTACAAGTCAGTTTTGTCTTGGTTCACTAAGGTCATCATCTGTGGAGGACATATAAAGAGTAAGGGAACAAAAGAGATTGGTTATGTACACATGCCTTACTTTTCCCACACCTCAAGTTTTAGAGACAAGTTGTGTGTTGCCTCTTAGCCCTCTGAATTATTGAAATATTGAAATAAGGATAACCCACTATTTGACTGAAGAGTCTCCTAAGGCAGTTGACATACTGGAAGCCATATAAAAACAACAAAACGCAAAAAGATTCTAGCACAATAACTATATGAAATATCATTAAAGCAAGTCACCGCAAACATGGACTACAAAAGGCTTCAAGAAATCTTCATTCAAAACGGACTCAAGAAATTAGCACAGTCACACCACGGGATCTGCAGAGTGCCACTCATTCATACACTCAAACTGCACAACTTACTTTAGTGCCATGCCTTCTGATGCTTTGCACTTCAGACATCTTTCTCATGTGGCTCACAAACGATGCTTCAGACAAGTCATTCTCTGGCAAGAAATACTGATAGACTTCATAAGATAGTCGCCACCTAGAGCTACTGCCCAAATCACACAATGGTGGGTTTGTACCTCTGGAAAATTGCAGGGGAGAATATTTATTTGAACTTGTTAGGCTCATTTTCACACTTCGCTTTGAGGCTAGAGTTTGTAGTGCCAATAGCTACTTCCCTCCCATACATTGCAGAACGGTTTAATATATCTTATTGTGATCCACAGGCAAAAGGCCTAGCTCCAAAGTTACAAATCACAGTAAATAACCGGGAAATTCTGTTTCACAAAATGTTAAGCTGGAGCCTCTTCCTTCCCATCTACTGCAGCTCCATTCTTAAAGAGGCTTGGAGTGGTGGGTCATTACCCAATCTCAAGAGGACTGCAAAGTTGCTACTTCTACCATTAAAAAAACCAAAAACCTGACTGCTGATAAAAGATGTATTTTAATTTTGGGGTATTTATGTCAGCTTGTTAATTTAGCAGAATTAATATACCACTTAATCATCTATAACCTCTCAACGGTTTAGTGAGGTTGTAAATTTGTTATTTTAAAATGTTGATAAAATCTAATTATAAAAGCAAGTTAACCTAAAGAATTATCAAAATATAACTGAAAACAGGTGCTATTAAAAATATACACAATAAAATTACATGTCTGGGTAGGCCTACTTAAATAAACAAAAGCAAGCCTACCCAGAATTGTTATTTTATTATGTATATGACTGAACATATAATTACTTCAATTACCATTTTCTGCCATTGCCTTTACATTTATTTGCAAGTCTAAGGGTTAGAAGTCTACATTCTTCCTTACCCCCACCTCTTCTGACTACAAGAACCGGCTTTGGTTTGCCCCAATATGTCTGAAGGATAAAAAAAAAAATCATAGATTGCATACTGCCAGTCCTCTGGACAAAAATGGCTAGTCTAGCTCTGAAAACCACCTTAATTCCTTCCTTTCAGGCTGCAGAAAGCAGGTATGCCTTAAGATTATGATGCAGACTCACCTAAAACAACTTTGTTTGGAAGTCTAGAAACACAATAACCCATATAGTCACCATCTAAGAGGAAGATACATACCTCACATATCCTAGATTTGCTGGGGCAAATTTAATGTGTGTCTCAGCCAAGTTATATTCTAAATAAATATTGGGGTCAATTTCCAAGTTAAATTCCATGTTGCAGCCTCCAGGGATTGGATCTAAACAGAAAGAGTCAAATGACTTCAATAAAAAGGAGTAACACATTTTCAATCAGCTGTTAAAGTAAGATACTGTGTCTTATGTTCACTGCTTTTGTGAATAGGCTCCTGTTGCATGAAGCGTTGTTACTCAGCCGGTGCAATCATAATGGCAGCAAAAAATGGTTTGCAACTCAAGAACCAGCTTCATGAACATGTGATCTCTCTGCTCCCACCCCAGACCATGGGTCTGCATTACGGATCTGCCAGGCCAAGCCATGGTTCCTTCAAAAGTGACTTGAAGTGGGATTGCACTAAAAAACTGGTTCTGAGAGGGAGTCCAAAGTGACATAAGGTAGAAAGTGTGGCGTTCTCAAAGTCTGCCGGAGGTTCCTGAGATGCTGAGGGGAGTGAATTAAATAGCTACAGGCCAGGAAAATTAAAAGCTCAGATAAAATTGGATGAAGAAATACAATGGAGGAGGATTTTTTAACGGGATGAAAAGAGAGCAAGACATGACGTTTTGCATTTCTGCTTGATTTCCCAAACCTTCACTCTCCTCTATGCAGGGAGATTGGAAGGCACAAAATTTGTATTACACACAGGAGCTCAAAGAGAACGCCACACATCATTTTGACCCTGACTCCAGAAAAAATAAGATGGCTTACCTCTTTCAGCATAAGAGAAAGAAACAGCTGTGCTCAGCACCTGGTCAGCACCCACAGCTTGCAAGTACCACGTACACACTGTCTGCTGAGGCCGAAGGATAGAAACCAGTCCTTGGTCTGTCCCAGCCCCTGAGTTGTTGCTGGAAGGTTTCTAAGAAGCAAAGAGATTGATGAATACCTCTAAAAGCTGCAACGTGCTAAGTTTATTTTTGTGCACGCTCTCATAGATTGCAGGGTGCTGGAGTAATGTCCAACTGCCCATTTTGAGAGCAATCACTAAATCCAATTGTCAGCTACTGAATCTTTGACAAGAGCCCCTAGACAAACAGGGATGTTGGGCTTTCTGCAGATGCAGCAACAGGGAAGTGAAGGGCATTAGAGTTCATGAGATCCCACTGAACCACGCTCCGTCCACACAATGTGTCCATTATTCCACTTGATGCTGGGTATTCCAGATGCACGTGAACCAAGTATTAGATCAGTGACTAGGCCTGGGCGATATATAAATATATCACCCAGGACGGGTATGAGGGGCAGGCCGTCATGACAGCTTCACTCAGCGGTATATCGCTGGTGAAACCGCCACCACTCCTGAGTCCTTCTGCCACCAGCGCCCAGCATGCCAAGGGAAAAACAAGCTCCAGCCAGGCACTGGAGACAGAGGGACTCAGGAGCGGTTTCACCAGCAATGTTCTGCTGAGTGAAGGCATCGTGGGGGTCTACCCCTCATACCACCACAGAGGGAGAAGCAATCTGCATTGCTTGTTCCTCCCTCCGCTTCTTAAAATTGCTTGGCGGGGTGGGGGCTCCGTTAGAGTGCTCCCCCTCCCCAGCAGAGAGAGCCCTAATTGTGTTCCTGCTTGCTTGAGAGCAGGATCAGGATCACGGCTGCTCAGCTGGGGAATGCGAAGCCCAGGCTCCCCCGCTGAGAGATTGCCCCCCTGCCCCTGCTTGTTACACCCCAGGAGGAAAAGAGACAGCACGCCTGCACAGACGAAGGCAGCCAAACGCACAGAGCCTGGCAAGCTCCATGCACTTGGGTATTGCTGCCTGGTCTGTCTTCGGGAAGGGGTGGCCCGCTGGCTTGCCCAGCCCCAGCTCAGCTGGAGGCAGGAGCTTTTCCGCCCCCCAGCTGAGCAGCAGGCTGGGGCCAGCTGCATTGGCCCCAGCCCGCGAGGCGCTGAGTCAAAGCACCTCAGCTCCCACAGTGAGAGCTGTGGCAGTTTCACCCTGTGCCTCACTGGCTGGGGCCAATTCCGCTTCTTCCAACATCACGGTTCATCACCAAACCGCGATGCTTGACCGCTGATACACCGTGATGTTGAAAACCCCACATCGCCCAGTCCTGACAGCGACTGAAACATCACAAGGGCTAATAAGCAGTAATTCAGATACCTTATCAAAGGAAATAGTCACATTCTTGTGGTGGGTGTGGATCTGAAAGATAATGACAGTCACATTGCTGTCAATATTCCTCAACACTGCTTCAGCTGGAATGGTTTCGTTCAGCAACACATTCTTAAATTTTCCCAAAGAAAGCTCCAAGAGAGGGCCTGCAGGAAAAGGGGGAAAGCAAGTGATACTCGTTAGTTGACTTGAGTAGATGAAGACACACAGCTAACTAGCAGCCTACAAGAATGGAGGTGAAGTCGACTGGTCAAATATTGTCAAGAGTTGCTTGAACTGTCTTTGTTTAAATGGTTGCCTCCCTTTTCCACTGGGTCACTGGTCATGCTAACTACTTTTTCATCAGCCCTCCAGAAGTCTGGGTCACAAGGTGCCACCTATTCTCTAGAACAGGCACCCCCAAACTTAGCCCTCCAGCTGTTTGGGGACTACAATTCCCATCATCCCTGACCACTGGTCCTGTTAGCCAGGGATGATGGGAGTTGTAGTCCCAAAACAGCTGGAGGGTCGAGTTTGGGGGTGCCTGCTCTAGAAACTCTAGTGGGCCAGACTTTGGAGAGGTCAGTGAGCCTTCTAGTTCCAACTTCTTCCTTCTGAAATAAGCCACATGGCCTAGCCTACGCTCGTTATTGTGTTACAACTGCATGCAATTCTAATGTGGCCAGAGTGGAGGAACCATGCTTCATGACAAAATAACACAAGCAACCATTATATTAACACAAGACGCAACTGCTGCACCACTGCATTCCCTGAGTCAAGGGATGATCACTCTGTAAAGTTTCTCAGAAGGCTTGGAGTTTTCTGCAAGGCCATCAATTGGTAAATACAAGAACTTTCTTTGCTACTGTTATTAATCACCGTTAATTGACATTTTTAGCCAAAATTCAACTGACAGTGGAGCATGTTTTTGACCAGTCAAGAGCTAGCCCTATCTTAACCCAGATACGCCAGCAGTCAAGAGCCTTTGTTTGCTAGAGTCAGAGCTATTTAACTGGCCTCAGCCATTTTTCCCTCATAAGAAACAAAGTGGGATATGGGTGGGAGAAGTTTGGTGAAAATTTTAGGGGCTTTCGGGAGATTACCTTAATAATGTTTACAAGGTGGCTGAGAGGTGTGGGTGTTCTCTTAACACTTAAAAAAATTACTTGTGTTGCTTTTTCTACAGGGCTCCACAATCTCGCTGGCCAGCACACTTCCTGAAGCACTCATGAGGGAAAGTCATGAAATGAATGTCCTCAGCTGGGAACACTATTAACTACATCAGTCGGGGAGGCCAAAGAAAAAGGAGCGTCTGCACTAAGTAGGATTGGTTGGATGTAGTCTGTTATTATAACCAAAGTATCCTACCCCAAAAGATCTATACAAACCAGTTTATCTGACTGCATTATTCTCATTTATTTCTAATTGCCTAATCATATGGACCTAAATTACATTATGCTGTAAGGACTTTTAATAAAATCTTAGAATTGTAGAGTTGGAAAGAACCCTGAGGGTCATCTAGTCCAACTCCCTGCAATGCTGGAAGCTCAAGCATCCATGCCAGATGGCCGTCCAACCTCTGCTTATAAACCCCCAAGGAAGGAGAGTCCACTACCTCCCAAGTGAGAGCGTTCCACAATTGAACGGCTATTACTGTCAGAAAGTTTTTTCTGAAGTTTAGTTGGAATCTCCTTTCTTGTAACTTGAAGCCATTGGTTCATGTCCTGTCTTCCAGAGCAGGAGAAAAGGGGCATGAATAAAAGTGGTCGCTTGTGAGTAGAACACACGCAAGTTGAGGGATGCCTGCACTCTCAAGGTCCATTAGCAGTTCCTCCATTAGACCAGGGTTAGCCAACATTGTGCACTCCAGATTTTGTTGGACTAACTCCCACCATCCTTCACCACTGGCCATGTTTACAGGGGCTGATAGGAACTGGAGCCCAAGAACATCTGGAGGACACACCATTATCTACCTCTTCATTGGGGCTTTCGTCACTGATGGTCAAATGTCTTTTCTCAGCTCCACTCCCATCTCCAACCTTTCAGCCCTTACAACATGCCACAAAACCAAGCAATAATGATTTTTAAAGAAGATGTTGGGATATTACTGTTTGATGTACTAGCATTTTTGTAGTTAAGACTTTAAGGGAAAAAAATATTTGCATTAATTACATAAAGAATTAACTGAAGGCAGCCCTGTTTAGGGAAGTTTTTCATGTTTGAAGTTTTATTCTGTGTAGAATATTCCTGCATTATGAATGGTCCATGTCACCTTTAAGAAAAAGAGGTAGGATTAGGCCAGGCATGGCCAAACTTGGTCCTCCAGCTGCTTTGGGACTACAACTCCCATCATCCCTAGCTAACAGTGGTCAGGGATGATTGAAATTGTAGTCCCAAAACAGCTGGAGGGCCAAGTTTGGCCATGCCTGGATTAGGTCAACCTTCCATATTCCTGGATCAAGTGACTTTTCTTCTTTAAGTTCTCAAAGTTCTTAACCTAGCTCAAGGCTGTCATCTGAACTAGCCAGATGTTTAACTGATAATCAATCACAGCCAGTCAATCCTTTGAAAAAACAAGACTTGAGAGCCATCTTGTCCAACTACTGTATTTTTCGCTCTATAGACGCACTTTTCGCCCTCCAAAAATTAAGGGGAAATGTCTGTGCATCTTATGGAGCAAATGCAGGCTCCATGGTTTCGGGGATAGCCATTGAAGCCAGGAGAGCAAGAGGGATCGGTGCGCACTGATCCCTCTTGCTCTCCTGGCTTCGCTTCGCTGGAGAGGTGCTGCGCAGCTTTCCCTCTCTGCGCAGCGCCCCTTCAGCGAAGTGAGAGGAGAAATGGAAGGGGCTCCGTTTCCCCTGCCGCTTTGCTGAAGGGGTGCTGAGCAGAGAGGGAGAGGATTTTTTTTTCCTGTTCTCCCCCTCTAAAACTAGGTGCGTCTTATGGTCCGGTGCGTCCTATAGAGCGAAAAATACAGTAGACATTCTGTTTTGGCAACTGTAACCTTGGTTTAAGGAGCATTTTGGTGCCTAGATTATATAGCTGAGTTTCTAACACTGCCAACCTCAATATAAAACATGGGATATGCAAACATTGTACAGTCCGCGACATGGAGAACGCAGAACATCTCCCATTTATGTTACTTTTCCAAGGTTCTTCTTTTCACACTTCCTGCTTTGGTCTGGTTGTGTGCAACAAGTGCAGGAAGCTCTGTTGTGGGTTTGTCCTGTGGCTCTTATGTTGACCTAGACCTGCACAGCGCGCACCCCCTTATCAGGCTCCACCCATGGATTGTGGCTTGTGCACCCGCTTCTATCTGGCCATTTCAGGAAGGTGGCAAAAGAAAGAAAGAAAGAAAGAAAGAAAGAAAGAGAACAGGAGGTTCTCCATCCAGTGAAAACAATTTTTGTATGGCCACATTACAATGGTTGGTCATATTTCTTTAGCTACATACACCTCACAATAGACTCAAGGCAACTTACAAACATAAATTTAAAAAATTATCTAAAATACAATAAAGACAATTTCATACTCTAAAACCAAGTCAGGTAAAACAGAATTCTGCTCTTTGCAGACTAAAGCAAGTTAATTTCTATTTCAATTTGGAACTGCACAATTTTAAACATACAGACTATGTTAAAGGGATCTTTTCTCTTCCTCCCCACCAGTTTAACCCTGCTCTTCTGAAACCTTTGAGATCTGAAGCATTTATAATTCTTTCTGAGAAGTACAAAGCAGTCCTTAGCTTCAAAGAGTTTATGATGCCTTAAGGTGATGTTATGTAAGCACTAAATACCGCAAGAGCAATCTTCTGCCTATCTCTCTTCAAAGGATAGATGCTGTAGAGAACAAATTAATCATTACTTTCCCAGCACACTCATCACAAGCACATGACAAAGCTTTCAAAATAGGTGTGAAGGAATATTGCAGCACATAAAATGTGAGTGTAGGTCATGAGCTGCATTCATGCATTGGTACAACGCTGGTATCTCTCTCCTCCATAATAATTACAATTTTATCCTTCCACACCTCTCTTTTGAGCAATTTAACAGGCTGGTTGAGCGTATTCATTTGCCTATTGTCATGGCTCAGCCAAAAGGGCTGTGCATTTTGCACAAATCAAGAGGCATTTGGATATTAGTCACCTTTCCTCACCCCCTACTTTGATCAACTGCTTTGGCAACAGACCACAATTTCTGTATTCATGAATGTATACCCCCCCTTCCATATTGAAAATAGCTATCTATAATCCTGGTAATGAGCATGTGAGGTTCTGTTGTTGGCATCTGTCTGTCTTGGGAGACAATGGGGGAGTGCGCCTTTCACTGTCTTATGCTAGATGGGGATGTTTGGAAAACGCGTTTTCTTGAAGATCTACTAAAGCAAAAGCGGAGCTTTATTTTCATTTAGTGAGACACTTATTCCAGCCCTTTATCACTTTTTGCTTTGCCTTTACTGTGGTTAAGAGAGGTGGCTGGTGGCCTTCAATCACTATTTGATTCCAATAGCAGATTCACATACAGTGGTACCTTGGGTTACAAATTTAATTCGTTCCGGAGGTCCGTTCTTAACCCGAAACCATTCTTAACCTGAGGCGCACTTTCGCTAACGGGGCTTCCCACTGCAGCTGCGCTACCGGCGTGCAATTTCCATTCTCATCCTGGGGCAAAGTTCTTAACCCGAAGTAACTACTTCCAGGTTAGCGGAGTTTGTAACCCAAAGCATTTGTAACCCAAGGTACCACTGTATTAGAAAGAAGAGTTCAGAAAAGAAGTGAAAGCTGTTAATGGGAAGGATGTCAGTCATAAAGATGAACGTATTACTGAAGATGCTCTTTTAATTTCAAACTGCTCCAGTAACTGGCAAAACAGGATGTTTCAAAGAATGGCAAAAATATATTTCAAGATTTATCTGGCAGGCAGGGAAATTGAGGATAAAACATAAATTTTTGATAAATGCTAAAGGAAGAAGTGGATTTTCCCTGCCAGATTTAAGACTATATTATGAGGCATCCTGTCTTTATTGGTTAAAGGTGTGGTTAACATTAAAAATGTGCAAATTTTGGATTTAGAAGGACATGATAATAGATTTGGCTGGCATGCATATTTGTAGTATGGAAAAACTGAAATACATAAAGGTTTCATGAATCTTGTCGTTAGGAAAAACTTATATAAAGTGTGGGATAAATACAAAAACTTGCTGGAAAGGAAAACACCATTATGGCTGTCACACATAGAAACCATAATGGTGAAAAAAAAGAAATATGAGTGATGAATGGGTAACATACAGAGATTTGCTAACAGAAGGGGAAGGGAAGATCAAATTAAACAGGTTTGAAGAAATAGCAGAAATATTAACGAGTTGGTTACAATATTATCAACTTAAGAAGTTATTTAAGTTGGGCAAATATAGTGGCTTTACAAACCAAACCTCTCAGCTAGAAAAGGACCTGCTAGAGAAGAATCAAACAGTAATGTCTGAAATGCTATTAGAATGGCAAGCGAAAGACGAACAGGTGAAATCATACACTAGGCAATGGATATAGGACTTAAGAGTGAAATGGCAGCATGGGAAAGATTATGGAATGTGGATTTGAAATTTACAGCGTGCTCTGCTATTAAAGAAAATTACATGAAAATGATGTATATATGGTATCTGACTCCTACTAAATTAGCAAAAATGTATGTCAGAATCAGATACCTGATGGAAATGTAAAGAGGAGGGGTACCTTTTTCCATATGTGGTGGTCAGGCAAGGCAGCAAAAGCTTTCTGGGGAATGATTAATAATGAATTGGGGGAAAATGTTGAAGATAACTTTAGTTAAAAAAACCCAGAAGCTTTTCTTTTAGGCATAATTGGTGGAGAGGTACTCAAAGAACAGAGGAAGAGATTATGTATGCTACAGCTGTCTGATTGATTTATGCCAAGACATGGAAAGAAGAAAGAGTTCCAATGAAGGAAGAACGGCAATTAAAACTGATGGAATATGCAGAAATGGCAAAACTAACCAGAAGAATAAAAAACCAAGAAGAGAGACTTTTAAAAACAGAATAGGGAAAATTTATTGATTATTGGAAGATGTATTGTAAACAACCTAAAACATTAGCAGGATTGACATAAATACCTGCAGTAAGAATTAATGAAAAGGGAATACAAAGGGGAAATTAGTAAAAAGTTTTGAACGGGATATGCAGTAGCAAAAGATATAAAATAGGTAACCACAGAAAGGAGGGGAGGGAAGTTGAGGGAAATGCAGATTGATTATGTAAAGATTTTGCTTTTTTGTTAAAATATTTGTAAAATGAGAAATAAAATTAAAAGAAAAAAGAAGTGAAAGCTTGCATCATCGCTATGTCTTATTTTATTTTATTTTATTTTAGTATTACTTGAACCTTATCCAAGCCATGTGATTCTGAGGGTTGCTGTCTGAGATCAAGGGCAGTTGTAAATTCATTGAATTTATCAGCTCTCCTTAGTGCATAAGGAAATTGCTGGATTGGCAAGCATAGTCTGGAATGAGAGCCACTTCCTTGGTGCCTGCCTTTTCGAAGTCTCTTGTACACAGGAAATGCCCTACTTTGGGCTTGAACTGTGCTGGTTTTTCAGAGAACAGCTACTTTATACAGCAGTTTCACGCTGCTTTAAAAGAGAGAGAGAGATAAATACTTTATCCAGAGTCCCTGTCCTTAAATCATGAGATGTTAAACAAACCAGAGTTTCTTTGCTAAAGTTCTGGGCTACCAACAGTAACAGTTGCTTATAACCTATTTGAGTGTGAAACATTTTTAATTTTGTTAAAGTTGACAACTGAATCTTGCTCATTAAAATGACATGAATCTTGGCATGACACATATTTGAAAAACAGCACCACAGAACTCTGTGTGTGAGACCTTTAGTGAACCAAATGATGATTTGTAGATCCTCTTCCTGTTTGAAGGTGGATAACAACACATAACACTTGTACATAGCTCTTCATGTGAAAACATGCAGTGAGGAATGTATTTCACAGAAATGTGATAATGAAAACTAAAAGGCACTTTGAGGAATAGTGTTGGTAAGGGGCAATATTCGAGCAGGAAGATTACCACAGCCAAGGAGCCATTTTCACATTCAAGAAGAGTGACCGACAGGATTTCGTACCAAAGAAAGGATTCTTCTTTTCTGTATTGCACCACTACCCAAAGTCAAAGGACAAACTAGTGCAAACACTTGTGCAAGGCATGACAGAAAAAGTACTTAGTTTACTTCAGGGACTGAAAAGCACACTGATCTTATACACAAAATATAATCCCAAGGGAAGCTAGGCAATGTAAAACCCCATTGCAAATAATGAGATTTATTCAGAGTCACATAAGTACACAATTACTCTTAAGATCCATTCGTTCTAATGAGCCAGATGCATACCTAACTGATTGGGGATGGTGCTCATTATGTTTCAACAAGACAAGATATTTTCTATAGCTAACATAACAAGAGATACTATTGAATTTGGCCTCAAATGACTTTGTACCAATTGCACTGTCCAAATAAAGCACCATTCTGTTAGTAAAGACTACTTCGCTCCACATTCTCTGCTTTTCTACTTGACAAGGGTTTTCAAAGATTCACAACACTTGAAGGCAAGGAAAACCCTTCACAGTGTGGCTGTCACATTTTTTTCAGTTGCTCCATATGCTTTTGTTGATTAATCTGTGAACAGCCTATATAACCCATGTGCTCTGAGCAAGGCATAATTCTGATTAGATTGTTTTGGAACGTGAATACCATTTGTGAAAACTGCTGATCAATACACTGCGTATCATATTTGAGTGACTGTAGGGCAGTTCAAAAGCACGTCAAGTGCAAGTAGGTAAATAGGTACCGCTCCGGCAGGAAGGTAAACGGCGTTTCCGTGCACTGCTCTGGTTCGCCAGAAGTGGCTTAGTCATGCTGGCCACATGACCTGGAAGGGAGGAGGTTGGGGGCAAACTAGAATGAGTTGAGCTCCTATTGCTCTGTCCCAGCTCCTGCCAACCTAGCAGTTCGAAAGCACACCAGCGCAAGTAGATAAATGGGTACCGCTGCGATGGGAAGGTAAATGGCGTTTCTGTGTGCTCTGGCTTCCGTCACTGTGTCCCGTTGTGCCAGAAGCAGTTTGGTCATGCTGCCACATGACCCGGAAAGCTGTCTGCGGACAAACACTGGCTTCTTCGGGCTGAAGCGAGATGATTGCCGCAACCCCAGTTGCCTTTGACTGGACTTAACCGTCCAGGAGTACTTTTACCTTATCAGTTGTATGTGCCTGCCTAAAGTTAAGGTAGTAGCATAAAATGGGCAGCTTTGCTGCTTTTGCCATCTTAGGTCAAGAATGAGATGGCATTACACAAGTCAAAAGAGAGACTTAAACATAAAGAAATAATTTGCTTTAAAATGCCAATACAGCACATAGTTCAACTGTGGAATTTGCTCTCACCAGAAGTAATGATGGCCACCAAATTGGATGGCTTTAAAGGAGGATTATAAAACCTCATAGAGGATAAGGCTATAATCTACCTCCACTGTCTGAATACCATCTGCTCAGAATCACAAGTGGGGAGAGAGCTGTTGCACTCAGGACTTCTTTTCAAGCATCCCATAAGCATCTGGCTGGATACTGAGAACAAAATGCTGGACTAGATGGGCAACTGGCTTGATCCAGCAGGGCTTTTCTCATGTTCTTATTTTTTAGACTCTGGTTTTGTTTTGGTTTTTTGGAATTGGAAAACAAATGAGTCTCTCCAATGTGCATTCCTTATATTTGTCATCAAGACAGCTCTGGAGAGGTGTTAAGATAGAAAACCTATCCTTCCTGGTGTAACCAGTGGCTCAGCAATCAGACATGGTTCCAAAATTCTATGAACTGCAACAGAGACTAAGCTGCTTCTGGCGAAACCAGAGCAGCGCATGGAAACGCTGTTTACCTTCCTGCCAGAGTGGTACCTATTCATCTACTTGCACTTGACGTGTTTTTGAACTGACGTGTACTTGACGTGTTTTTGAACTGCTAGGTGGGCAGGAGCTGGAACCAAACAATGGGGGCTCACCCCGTCATGGGGATTTGAACTGCCGACCTTCCGCCTTCTGAAGTCAAAGGAAAAGCAGTTTAGCTTACCAGCTGTGTACAGTATTGCAAAATACCATGGCCCTAGAATAGTCACATTCTTCAAGCTGTAAGAATGCTCCTTGCTTCTAATATTAATTAAGTTGTTCTTCTGTAGACCATTATCAAAGCTCATGCAATATTGCAGCAAGAACTCTGACAAACCAGTGAGAGCTGCAAAACTAGTTTGAGCATTTACGTATAATGTAATTGCGTCCAATGACACATTTGCTGCTGTTCCTTCTGCATTATCCACAGCAGAACTTTGTCTCAGCAATAAAAGACATGCTTGTTCATCAGCTCAGGGAACCAAGAACGCTGCACAGATGCCAAGGCACATGACTCAAACTATGAAGACACATGACCAGTTCTTTTAAAGCCTACAATTCCCATGACTGTTTTGCTTCCATTGGAAGACAGCTGACATGGGAAATACAGGCAACTAATGCCTATATTCCCATTGCCAGCCAAAAACAAGGAAGCCCCCTCCCTGGCCAGCCTTTGCCACTTCCTTGAGTCTTTATGTCTGGCTGGAATGGGTCCTTGGACTCCAATAACTCCTTCCGCTTGCCTGGATCTCGGCTAGAGGGAGGTGTATTTGTGAGTGTGGAGAAGCCTGCCTGCTGTACCAAGGTAAAATTTACAGCCATTTATCTGCTCACTTTTGCCTCTGTCGCCTTCCACCAGTGGTATGGGGTTCCTGGAAGGGCATGCAGCCCTGAAGCCAAAAAGGGGTTTTCCACCCTGGCAGTATATGAGTTACAGTTTCTTCATACATGACATTTTAAGGTTTACATCTTAGGGTGTGTGTATGTGTGTGTGTGTGTGTGTGTGTGTGTATATACACGCTCCCTCCAGAAGTTTAATGTGACAAACACACGAGACAGTGAACCATATAAAGGAGCCAGGTTGAGAGGACACCTGGTGGCAAACTCAGGTTTGTTGTTGCACAATGTGCAAAACAGAACACAGTACCGATTAGATAAAGCAACTCTCCTTGCACCCCTGGGGGGAGGGCGGGGGAAATTTCCCTTTGCTTTAGCTGAATTAAGTAAACACAATCAACATAGTTTTCATACAGAGCCCCGAAAACCCAATCCATGCACAACAGCATCAGTCCAAGGCGCACACAGCCTGCTTTGCTGACCGATTGTTGAGAAACAAGACAGCCCTTCCCGGCTTCCACACTAAGATCCCTTTGGAAGGAAAGCAGCTTTAAGCCACGGCCACTCCAGCCAAGATCCAGCCCAAACTACGTGAACTTCGGGCGTGCAACAGGCATTGGGAATGGGGGGGGGGCACCGTTTCCCAGAAACGAAGCCATAGAGTATGTGGCCCCATCTTTCACTTGTCTGGTCAGTGAGCAAATCCGGATAAAGTGGGTACAGGATTCTTAGATAAGTATCAGCCTTTGTGGCCTTACCTGCCGCGGCGTCCTCTGCACCTTCGTACCTGTAGAAGCACCCGAGCACCAGAAGCAGCGCCAGGAGCCCCATGGTGCCTGCCGCCTCTCCGCGCGCGAGACACGGGATCGCATGCACACGAGCCGGGGGGGGACGGGGGCGCGGCGCAGGCGGGCTCTACCCCGGGCAGCGAGCGCGGAGTCGCATCCCTGCGCCCCGGCGCGCCTCCTCGTCCTGCAACGCGCCGCGGTGCCGAAACCCTCCGGCTGCGCAAGAGGCCAGCAGGCGCTCACTTCCGGGGAGGGAGCCCTGCTCTCCCCGCCTCCCTTTCCCGCGGGGCGGGCGGAGGACAACGACACCCCCCCCGTCCCGTCCGGCGGAGTTTGCTTGGCCGAGGGGCCCGTGCAGCCGGGCAGGTTGCAGCAACCCTCCTTCCCCCAAAGGGCAGCCCGCTCGCTTTGTTTGCATCTGCCGCCGCGCCTGGGCTTGCCGCCGCCGCCTCACCCAAAATGTCAAATGCTTGGAAATTCAGCTCACCTTAAAAAATTTAAAACGATTGCCTGCTTCAAGAGCGTGGAGGGGAATAACTAATCCGCAAGCAACTGGGGTGGGAAGGGGGAAATGCAGCCTTGCATTATGGAAAGGAAATCTCTTGGCAGGGGACGCAGGAGCAGGCGAGACTAGCGGGACTTCTCCGGAGGGTCTACTACATAGAAAACCAAGGGAGGGGGGCAGAAGGAGCTGGGGCCTGGGGGGCCTGGGCGTAGCCAGGATTTTTGCTGGGGGCGGGCAGCCAAAGTGGTTGAGGTGTTTCTCAGGCGAGCTGCCCCCTCTTGGCTACACCCATGTTGGAGGGGGCCACCCTCCCTCAAAGTGCCATTCAAATCGTGTATGTGCGCCAAGTCTTGCGATCGATTGGGCTGGGTGGGGCTTACCCCCTGAGCTGATGTGCCCTGAAAGAGGCTGGTGGTTACTCATTAGAGTCGCCATCTTTTTCAGCACAAACGCACATTTTAAGTGTGTTTTAAGTGCATTATACAAATGTGACACTAGATGGTGTGAGTGAGCTAATGAAAAATTCCACATATATTTTTAAATGTTTTTTAATAAAAGCATTTTCACAGCGTTTTATATATGTGTGTAGATTCAGCCCTGGTTGCTCAGTTATTTCGGAGTCGAATGAGGTTTTCTCCATAGTAATAGCCCTGTCAGATACATGTTTCTCAGAAGTAAATCTTGCAGAGATCAGTGATTCTTCCTAGCAAGTAAGTGCAGAAAGAACTAGTCTTGTGTGTTTTTTCTTAAAAGACATTTTTTGTGTGCGCTTTTAACAGTTGCGTGATTTGCAAAAATTCAACAGGTGCAGAATCTCATGCTCTACCAAAAGAGCTATACAGAGGTTGGCAGCATCCTTTTCACAGCCTTTCATAATACATCACCACTGATTTCAACAGAACTTCCTGAGAAATTGGAAATGTCAGAAACTGCCTTACACTAAGTCAGACCATTGGTCCAGCTAGCTCAATGTTGCCAACACTGACTGCAAGTTTCAGGCAGAGTCCAGGGATTAGAGCTGGGACCTTTTGCATGTAAACCATCTTCTCTACCACCAAGTTATGGTGCTGTGTGCAGCCCTGTCCTGCGCACATTTACTCCAAGTGAGAGTACAAAGGCTGAAAGCTCTAGCGGCTCCATCTGTTTCTCTACTGCCAATCAGAGGGGAAGCTGGGTTAGTTTGTTGCAGCAAACACCACAAAAGAATATTGTAGAATCTTAAAATACTAACAAATGTATTATTGCATAAGCTTTTGTGGATTGGAGATGGTTATGCACAAACAAGGGAAGACTGCAATGTGCAGCCACATAATTTATCAAGACCAAAGACTCTTGTGGCACCTTAAAGAGTAGCACATTTATTTAGAGGTCTAATTCTATTAACAAATGATTTGAATAGGAATAATGACATTTTAATCACACTAGCTTACACATGCCAGGATATATCTGCAGGATTGCCTGTTCACCCACTCACTTGCTTAAACCTGCCGAACTGGTGCCATTATTGGTGTGATGCCTCATAATGCTTATTCTTAGCATTTATTTAATTTGTATACCACTTTTCACCCAACGATCCCAGGGAGATTCACAGCAGAAAAATACAAAACGAGAACATCACTTTCCACAGCTGTAACAAAATCTCTTAATGTGGTGACACCTAAACTTTGGAACTTCCTGCCTATTGATTTCTGTACTCCTTTCGGTGTCTGCTTGAAAACATTTTTGTTTCGGAAAGCCTATCATGTAGGTGCTGATGTGCCTTGATAGTTTTCACTGTTGGTTTTAATGACCTTTAACTGTTTTTATTGATGCTTTTAATATTTATCGTAAACAGCTTAGTGGTTTTACTGCAATCAAGCAGTATATAAATTTCATTAAATCAATAAAATAAACATGTATGCCATCGCCAACACTGCTTTGCCCATGGCCACTGCCTCAACTTAGTGTATTTCACTGCTAATAACGTATTACTTTCATTTTCCTCTGACCTCACCCTTTACTATTCTGCTGCCATGTGTACCATACGCAGCCAAAACTCTCAAGCTCCAATTTGCTAGTCTTTCCCCCTTTTTCCTTTCTCAAAATGAGAGCGGCAGCGCCTCCTCCTCTCCGACAGAGGGCGGACCACGAAACGGATCTCGCTGCCGCAGAGACGAGACTCTCGCCTGGGTTTGGTTGGTGTTTTTCCGCTATGGCACCGGCAGCGAGTCGGACCAAAAAGGGAACGCTTCCGAGGCGTCGCCCTGGCAACCTCAAAGCCCGCCTCCCCGCTCCTGCTCTGTCCATTGGCTGCGCCCAATGAGGGGCGGAGGAAGAGGGCGCCGCCTCTGGATGCCGGGACTGGCGCGCAATGGCGGACCGCCTCACGCAGCTGCAGGATGCGGTGAACTCGGTGAGGGAGGCCGCGTTCCGCCCGGGACGGGGCTCGGGCCTTGAGCGGAACATCCCCGGGCCCCGTAAAAAGAGGAGGAGCGGGAGGGAGGGAGGGAGGGAGCCCGTGGCTGCGCGTAAGAAGGACCGTGTACTTACTGTGATGCTGCAAGTTCCTCAGCTGAACGTGTTATTATTGTTATTATTTTAATGTAAAAGCCTTTCTGGAAGAGCTTATTAGTTAAAACCCCTAAGCAGTGTGCAAAAACGCAGGGGCAAAGCAGTAGAAAGAGGGTCATAAAAACATTAGTAAGGTCCAAGCTTGTGAGTCAGGGAACGAGCCTGGGCACAAAAAGGGGCTGAGCAGTGACGGCTGATGCTTCGTGTATTTTGTATTTGTCCACAGCTTGCAGATCAGTTTTGTAATGCGATTGGAGTATTGCAGCAGTGCGCCCCACCCGCTTCCTTCACCAATATTCAAACGGCAATAAACAAGGATCAGCCTACTAATCCTACAGAAGGCAAGTAAACTTCCCTGTAATACTCTTCAGGGAGAGAAAAGTAAAATAATGCACTGTAATGTAAAATGGGAATCTCTTTTTAATTCTGAACTGTTCTTTACTTTTTAAAAATGTCTTACTGGTTTTGTAAAATAAACAGATGCAACAAGAACAATGAAAACCAGTATTTGTCCTTTACTTTTTAATAAAGTAAATGTATGTGAGTTTCTTCCTTAACAGCTTTTTAATCAATAATGAATTGGCAGGGATTATTTGTAGGATGTACAAGTGTGTGAAGCAGGTGTGGGACCCTCTTCCCCCTCCAGAGGTGGCTGAACTCCAACATGGCCAGGGATGATGGGAGCTGATAGTTTACCAAAATCTAGAGGGCTCAAGGTTCTCTGCAACTGATGTAAGAGAGGCCGCTAACATTTGCCTCAGTTTAATTGTCCATGAGTAATTCCTCAAAGTAAACATTGAATGAACCTATAAGACATATTCATACGACCATAAGTTTTTGTTTGCCTTCTATAAGGAGGGATTCTTGTGGCTATAAGTTGGACAGCCTGGGGACTTGGACTGCAGGAATATACCACTTTTCTGACTTATAGTGATGCTATTGCCCTGCCTCCAATTGCTCAGATGTGAAGCATCTTATAGCAAACTAAATCTGTGAAACTCTGGTATTTGTGTATTGTCACTTACATAGTAAGGTCATTTAACCTGTTCTATGCTTGTTTTAACCTATTCTATGAGATTCCTGCATTGCAGGAGATTGGACTAGAGAACTCTTTGGGGTCCCTTCCAGTTCTGTGATTCTTACAAGTCTCAACATGTTGAATGGGCCTTACTACCTAGTAAGCATGTTTAGGATTGCAGCCTGGAGATGGTGCGAGTAAGCTACACTGAACATTGTAGAACTTATTTTTAAGTACAGTGGTGCCTCGCAAGACGAAATTAATTCGTTCCGCAAGTCTCTTCGTCTTGCGAGTTTTTCGTCTTGCGATGCACGGTTTCCCATAGGAATGCATTGAAAATCAATTAATGCGTTCCTAGGGAAACCGCCTTCAGACCAGGTCCGGGGACAGTCTGTCCCCGGACCTCTTCTGAAGGCTGGGGAGCAAGGGCTTTTCTTCCACCCCCAGCATTTTAAAACCCCGGGACAGCGGAGGACTTCTCCGCTGTCCGGGCGATCTTAAAATGCTGGCGGGCGGCATTTAAAATCACCCCGGGACAGCGGAGGACTTCTCCGCTGTCCGGGGCAATTTAAAGCCCCTGGGAAGGCAGGCAGGGGACAAAGACTTTGCCCCCGCCAGCCTTCAGAAGAGGTCCTGGACCTCTTCTGAAGGCGGGCGGGGCGAAAGTCTTTGCTCCCCCGCCTTCAAAAGCCCTCCGGGACAGGCAGGCAGGGGAGCAAAGACTTTCGCCCCCGCCCGCCTTCAGAAGGTCTTCCTCCCCCGCCCGGCTCGGAGCACCGTTCGGAGCCGGGCGGCGGGGAGGTCTCCCTCCCCGCCCGGCTCGGAGCACCGCTCGAGCCGGGCGGCGGGGAGGTCTTCCTCCCCCCGCCCGGCTCGGAGCACCGTCCCGAAGCCGGGCGGCGGCGGCAGGTGTTCCCTCCCCCGCCCGGCTCGGAGGAGCCTTCCGAAGCCCGGCGGCGGCGGGAGGAGGTGTCCCCGCCCCGCCGCCAGGCTTCGGAGGAGGTCCGAGGACAGTGGGGAAGACGCGCTGCGCTTCCCGCTGTCCCTGAGATTTCCTATGGGCTGTCGTCTTGCGAAGCAAGCCCATAGGGAAATTCGTTTTGCGAAGCGCCTCCAAAACGGAAAACCCTTTCGTCTAGCGGGTTTTCCGTCTTGCGAGGCGTTCGTCTTGCGGGGTACCACTGTACCGGTAAATATGCAAAGTTATTGTGCTGTGAAGCTTATATGGTCATTGCAATGCTCACATCTCATAATATTGTTTCCTGTTCGTTAATGGACTACTCACATAATAGAACCTATCCTGTGGAGGCTTTGCCATAGTAGCAGGGACATACCTAGGGATTGGCCAGGTTATCCCATGGCACAGGCCCAAGTGGGTGCAAAAAAATGTACTTCTCCACTCTGGCTCGGAGTAGCTGTGAGCTTCCCCTGCCGTCCACTGGTAGGACACTTAAGACAACAAAAGCAAACTTCTTGAGTTTCTGGTTGGAGATGCTGATACAGCTTTTTGCCAAGGGTGCATGAGAGCCTAGGTACACCTCCACATCGAGAAGACACTTCCACTCATGCAGGTTGGAGCACTTATTACTGATCCCATCCACACCCCCACCCCTTAAGTCTCCAGTCTCCCACAGCAAAGCTTCTCCCAAGTGTTAGGGGACCCTCTGTTTGTTTGTTTTTTTATAAGATATTTATTAGAGTTTCAACATATTACAAAAATAAGAGAAAAAAGTAAAAGAAAAAAAATAGAACAAAAGTAAAAATACAAAGTAAAAACAGTTAAAAACAAATCAATCTTTCTATATCTTATCTTTCATTTGCTTGTTTCCCTGACCTCCTCACACCTCCCTTTTTTGTATTCCAGTTCAATTAGTTAGTTCAGCAATTCCTTTCCCTCTTTAATTTTATCTTAATCTTTTATCTTGATATATTATAACTTTAAATTATCACCTGTTAACAATCCATTTTTACATATTCCTTTATAACATTGCTGCTAAAAACCACTTAACTTCTATCCAACATCATTCTAACATTCATTAATTTTACAGTATTTCTGTAAATAGCTTTTAAATTTCTTCCAATCTTCTTCCACCGACTCTTCTCCCTGGTCTCGGATTCTGCCAGTCATTTCCGCCAGTTCTATATAGTCCATCACCTTCATCTGCCATTCTTCCAGTGTGGGTAGATCTTGTGTCTTCCAGTATTTTGCGATAAGTATTCTTGCTGCTGTTGTGGCATACATAAAAAAAGTTCTATCCTTCTTTAGCACCAATTGGCCGACTATGCCCAGGAGAAAGGCCTCTGGTTTCTTCAAGAAGGTATATTTAAGTACCTTTTTCATTTCATTATAGATCATCTCCCAGAAAGCCTTAATCCTTGGGCACGTCCACCAAAGGTGAAAGAATGTACCTTCAGTGTCTTTACATTTCCAACATTTATTATCGGGCAAATGATAGATTTTTGCAAGCTTGACTGGGGTCATGTACCACCTGTATATCATTTTCATAATATTCTCTCTTAAGGCATTACATGCCGTAAACTTCATACCTGTAGTCCATAACTGTTCCCAGTCAGCCATCATTATGTTATGTCCAACATCTTGTGCCCATTTAATCATAGCAGATTTCACCATTTCATCCTGTGTTAGGGGACCCTCTGTAATGGATAATAATAATTATAGTAGTAATAATAATAATAATTAATAATTTTATTTATACCCTGTTCATCTGGCTGGGTTTCCCCAGTCACTGGGTAGCTTACAGCATAGTAAAACATCAAACATTAAAAACTTCCCAATACCTTCAGATGTCTTCTAAATGTTATGTAGTTCTTTATCTCCTTAACATCTGAAGAGAGGGCATTCTATAGGGTGGGTGCCACTACCAAGAAGGCTCTCCTCTTGGTTCCCTCTAACTTCACTTCTCGCAGTGAGGGAACCACCAGAAGACCCTCAGAGGAGGAGGACAGTGTCTGGGCTGAATAATGGGGGTGGAGCCGCTCCTTCAGGTATACTGGGCCAAGGCCATTTAGGGCTTTAAACGTCAGTACCAACACTTTGAATTGTGTTCGAAAACATACTGGGAGCCAGTGAAGATCCTTTTGGACCAGTGTTATATGATCCCGGCAGCCACTCCCAGTCACCAGTCTTGCTGCCGCATTCCAATACAGGCAGTGGGATTGTTGAAAATCAGGTGCCCTGCCTTGCATGAACAAAGTGCTTTCTGCTTAGGCAAAACCAACACTAGATCCAACTTATTTGCACTCTGTAGGGAAATGTGTTGTTTTAGACTTTCTGTACTCCATTCCCATGTGCTGTACAGTAAATCTTTGCAGTAGTTATTGTAAAAATTTGAAGAAAACAAGTAAAATAATAAAAATATCTGTCATTATACAGTAAATATTATTGTGCATCTTGAAATTTTAAACTATGACTTGAACAACTTGATCTTCTGCAATAATTATAAAGATGGTGTCCATGTTGTTGCTTCTACAGAATATGCCCAGCTGTTTGCTGCATTGATTGCAAGAACTGCCAAGGATATTGACGTATTAATAGATTCCTTGCCCAGTGAAGAATCAACAGCTACATTACAAGTAAAAATGAAATTTAAATGGCTCATGCTTTGTGTAATACTGCTTTTGTTTACTATTGGATGCTAAGAATATGAAACAACCATGACTGGCACAGAGAAGTCCATAATAACTGCTAATGCTGTACACTCTTAAGTAAGGGGCGGAGAACCTGTGGCCCTCCGGATGCTGCAGGACTCAAACTCCCACCATTCCTGACTATTGGCAATGCTGGCTGGGGCTGATGGGAGCGGAGGTCCAGCATCTGGAGAAGTATGTTTTATCACCTCTTATGTAAATGTCAGACAGCATTTTCTTTGGTGGGGGTGGTGATCTCTGTAGGGAACCATTGACCGAAACGTGTCTTCCAGAACACCCTTCTGGAACTGCACTTCCCAGAATGATTTGTGGTGCCAAAGCCCCATTTCAGCCTGTTAGTCCAGAAGTGTACCCAATTTTATGATATCAAACCTCTGCAGATCCAGCAGAAACACCAACTCCTGATTGATGTAGACAATGCACTTAGAACAATCAAGGTTGTTTTTGTTCTATAACTTGGGCTATAACTATATGAATATGGACCAAACCTGGAGTTGAGAGGTTGCTATGTTCTGGTAGCTTGCCCAAGAACTGAAGACTGGCTTAGTTCCTGCTGTGACCATTAAAAAGCTTAATCTATCTTAAATACAGTTCTTGATAACTTAGAAATTATTAGCTGTGGGGTATATACCTGTTTTTTAAAAACAACATTTTATATCTATTTTTAAACATTAAAAATGTATTTAATTCTATTTTGCTACATGGTTGTTTGATGCCCTGGGCTCTTTGGATAGGGAAGATAAAAATTTAAATTAAATAAGAAGTCCACTTTTGAGTGCTTGAGGGGGTGTCAGCATATAGGAAGCTGGTGCGTACCAAGTCAGGCCATTGGTCCATCTCGTTTAGTATTGTCAACACAGACTGGTAGTAGCTCTGCAGGGTTTCAGGTGGTGGTGGTGTTTTCACAGCCCTGGAGGGACTTTTGGATGCAAAGCATGTGCTCTTCCACTTCTGCGAAGTCATTAAGAGAGTTATCTCCAGTAAATGAAACTGTACAGTATTAGACTTTTCAGGTTCTGTGTTACTGAAATGCGTAATAACATGCAGTATTACAAAGTGTTATAAGACACCAACTATTCACAGGCTAAAAATAAGAGGGTCCCAGAAATGACTCTTACCTCCTCCTCCCCCCCCCCCCCGCAAGAGTCAATCCTCTTCAATTTTAAAGCACTAAACAGATGTGCTGTCGGCGTTTCTGTTTTTCCCAAATGTATAGGCTGCCAGTTTGCATCGCTTGGAGGAAGAGAATCACGAGGCAGCTGCACGTCTTGAAGAGGTGGTTTATCGTGGGGATATGCTTTTGGAGAAGATACAGAATGCTTTAGCTGACATTGCTCAATCACAGCTGAAGACAAGAAGTGGCAGTCATAGTCAACCTGCTCCAGATTAACCACCAGAGGTGTTGGGACTTGACCATAAAATTTGAACTTCTTGAGAAGGTGGGGAGGGGAGGACTTTTTTAAAAAAAAGTTGTACATTACTGTTGAGCCTTAATCCTGCGGAAGGACGTTTGGTGTTGTGCTTCTGGGAAAACATCTCCGTGTTGACAAGATATTCAGTCTTTTGTAAGGTATTGCACTAGCAGGAAGTAATCACAAATTGAGAGTTGCCAAACTTTTAATTTTTAATATGTTCCTTATGCCCAAAGCCCTGTGCTTTGTTTGTTAGATCAGAATGTCTGATTTCATTTGACAGGCAACCTTGTGAAGTCATAATGAATTAAATGCCCCAGGCATGCATACTGGCACACGGTGTTTTATTGCATGGAATTGTCCTTTCGACTTCCAGAGCATTCAACTTCCAAATCACGGCTTCTGGTTGGCTGCAGGAAGCTCCTACAGCCATTTGGAAGCTGCAGAAGCCCCGTTGGACGTTTGGCTTCCAAAAGAATGTTTGACAGTCGGAACAGTCACTTCCGGGTTTCGATCATTCGGGAGCCAAAATGTCCGAGTTCTAGGGCGTTTGACAACTAAGGTACGACTGTCACTAAGCCATGGTCTTTAACTTGCTCCTAATGTTTATTATTATTTTTCTATTGACTAGCGGACTAAAGAAAATCCTCTAGTTTTTCCAGTACAGATTTGCAATGGATAGCAAGAGCTTGGTTTTTATTTCTTGTGGGAGATCTGGGTACTGTCCAGCTGTTGAACAGCTTATAGACATCCGCATGTAGGTATGCATGATCACTGTACATTGGGGTGGGAAACCTCTGGCCCTCCCGACATTGTTGGACTACAACTCCCATTAGCTGCAGCCAACATGGGCAGTGGATTATTGGAGTTGTAGTCCAGCAGCATCTGCAGGGCAATAGGTTCCACATCCCTGCTGTATACACTGCTACGGATATAATTGGATGGTCTGCTTTGGTGTGGAAGGGGAAGGAGAGAAGGTGTGGAAGAATTAGAGGTTTGCATACCTGTTCTACATGGGACACAGCTTGGGCTAAATCAGTTGATTCAAACAAAGGTGAGCTGTCATTTTTTATTGGAAGCTCAGTCTTGATGGTATCCAAAGTTAGAATTTAGACAATTTGCATAAATGAAGCATAGCTGAATATGACAGGTCAACACTTTAATGTCAAACATGTGCAGACAAATAAAAATTAATTTTTGTCTTCAAATAGTTTGTTTATATCTATATTGTCTCTCTCTCTCACACACACTCTCACACAGAATTTTACCCTACTGCTTTTCTTTGTGTTGTAATATTAGAAACTAGCTAAATTGCCCTCATATCATCCTGATATTTGATTAGAAATCAAACCTACTTTAAAATTTATTTTTATTCTACCGTCAATTATGTAAATGTAAAAATTAAAAAACAAACTCAAGTGCTTTTTACAATATTTTGTACACCAACTAATTTTTTCATGTCCACTTATTAAGAAAACTCATAAATCGTACAAAATCAGAATTACAAATATACTAAAAGCAGATTAAAACAATAAAACTCAGACCCTAAAAAGGGCTAGGAAAACACACACACACACACACACACACGTACGTGTCAAAAGATAGAAAAGTAGTTGCCAGATGGGTCTGTGGGGAGGAAGTTACATAAATGAGGTGTTGCCCTCTGATTGCCAGTCGTTTCATCTTGGGCACTATGAAGATCCTTTTCGCTGACAACAAAAGACAGCATTGCCTGGGCTTTATATGCATGTTGTACAGGTTTTGTTGAACTATCAGACCATAATCTTCGTGCCAGATTTAATATTACTGATATTCAGGGAATAAATGGTGAGGATTCCTGAATATTTAAAACAGTTGCTTGAAGAGATGTGGATCTTCCTTCTCAGCTACTCTAGTACTGGACCGTCCCATTCACTTTGATATTAGAAAATGAAGAATGAAATCAAGGTTCAGCGTTTGTGCTAGAAAATGCTACACATGGTTGACAGCATCCATTGTTCAAGAGAATGCAAATATAAGCACTAGCACTGATTTATATTGCCTGGACTTTCTTGTGTGCTAATTAGTGTAAGCCCTTGTCTATGTCCCTTTCCTGGAAACAATTCCTAGGGGTCCCTGTTCGTTCATCATCAGAATAGTTCTCTCAAGTCTAGTAGATGCAAATGTTTTGCTATCTTTTCACTATGTTAACCATTTTTTTTCCTCTTTCATAATTGGATACAGAATGGAATACAGGGTATAGCAGAGGATGTATACCGTTTATTTATGTACGGTATTTTTATTTTTAAAGATTTTAGATTTCCCTGAAGTATGACCAGTTAGGATCTGAAACATGTTGGATCTATAAGCAGAACCAGGCAGACTACTAAGGAGGGCTTGGGAGAACCTGAAACTTGAATGTAAAGAACAACATGCAGCTCTTAATTCAGTTCAATGACCATCAACTCTTTTATGGTGAGGGCCTTTCTGGTGTAGATCAGTGGTGCTATTTTGCAGTCTTTAATTAAAAGGGACACAAAATACTTGCAATTCTTGTGTGTCATAGCTTATCAGTGGTGTTTATCAATGGTACTTTAAAAATCAAAGTATTGTTGCATTTATCAAAATTATTTTTATTATTTTATTTTCAATAAAGGAAATATGAAAAGGAATAGTACAATCCTGTGAACCATAAAGAGAAATGCAATTATGCAGAGGGTGGTATAGGTCCATTAAAGCTGCATTTCACTGTCCAACGTATTTCTCCACAGGTGACAGGGTCATCTAGTCCAACCCGCTGCAATGCTAAAGCATCCATGATGGATGGCCGCCCAACCTCTCCTTAAAAACCTCCAAGGAAGGAGAGTCCCTTTCAAGGGAGTCCATTTCACTGTTGAACTGTTCTTACTGTCAGAAAACCCTTCTTGATGTTTCATCAGAATCTCCTTTCTTGTAGCTTGAAGCCATTGGTTTGAGCCCTGCTCTCCAGAGCAAGAGAAAACCAGCTTGTTCTCTTTTCCATGTGCCAGCCCTTGAGACATTTTAAGATGGCTATTCTATCTCCTCTCAGTCTCCTCTTTTCCAGTCCAAACGTACCCAGCTCCTTCAGAACTTCCATTCATTTCAAGGCAGATGAATGAAACTATAAGACATTTTTTCCACCAGTATTTGTGACCTTCTTGTCTAGTCCCCTCCACTTTAGCCATTTGGAGACCACTATGATATATTTCCCCTTAAATAGATTTATGCAGTTTTAAAAAGTCTTCTGTCATTGGAAATTTTCCTGCATCTCTTTGGGATATATAATATACTATATGGTGGAAACTATTATCTATATTCCATCCATAATTTGATGGAGCAAGATGTGCCTTTACATGTACCCCTAGAGATATTTTAGATAAGTGGCATTCAGTTGAGTTTCCTGCACTGCAGGGGGCTGGACTTGGGGTCCCTTCCAACGCTACAATTCTATTATTCTTTGATTGAAGGGCTGTTTGAAAAGGTTATTTTATACACTTTTAAGAGCTGGAAAGGGGAAGGAATGATTCTGCACATCATACTTCTTCACCCAAACTTTCCCCTCTGTTTTTGAAGTCAATTCTGAAATGCTCTTTCAAACCTGCTAAGCCCTCAGCTCATTGATTCTTGAAGATGGCGGCATCTCATACTATTAATGGAAGCTTTATGTGATCACTAAATATAATCAAATTATTTCTAATTGTAGGGCATCCACTACAGGCTTTTTCACTTTGTTCTATTTATTCCACTGCAAACTAAATTTTCCCAATGTTGCTTACACAGCATGAAACACTTACATTGGTCTGGGAAATCCATTAAGGTGAGATCTGCCACCACAAAGCCCCATCTGGCATTCATTTGTTCAATACTTATTAAGGTAGCTAGTGACGTGCTTCCTTGGGCTTGCCGACTCTTTCAGCCACAGATGTCAGCTGTCTAGCATTGTCTGAAATTACCTATATTTGTCTTGCTCTCAGGCTGTTGTGTCTGCAGCTGGTGTGTGTTTGCATTTCTCACAGTCTTTATCCTCCATTAAAGTCACCCCTTGTAATAGGGTAATAGCCTCTTCTTCCTAGGCAAAACAAGCATTTATTTAACTAACCACATTTATTGACTGACTTTACAGTAACATAGTCCTTTGACCTTTTGCTATGAACTCTGTTTATGTACAGTATAGACAAAAGCACACTAATTAGCCTGGGAACAGGACATTTGTTATTAATTATTAGGAAAATAGCTCACTTTCTAAGCACTCACAAATATGAACAGATGAACTTTCAATATTTAAAAAAAGCTTTCAGCTTTCCATCCTGTTGTTATACACTTGATTTGACATCTTAATGGACTTTATAACTGCAAGTATTTCACAGCCATGGAGTTGCCATTGTTGCAAAATATTACAAATCCACATACAAAATGTGTAGAGATTCTATACAAATATGCAAAATGGAACTACAATACAGCTGAAGTTTTAATAATGTAAATACTTTTATTTGACTATCAAAGTACGGTATATACCACCAATTCAATACAATTTAACATGGCAGTTTACAGCAGTATACATAATAAAATATAAAACCAGCAAAAAGGGACTAAAGTGACTGGTTGATAAAATTGTAAACAGTTGCATAGATCTGTTTACATTAAAAGGTTTTCAAGAGATGCCCTTTTAATGCTGAACAAAAGTCCAGAAATAGCATTGTTTGAGAAGGTTAAATTGTACCCAAACTATGAAGGACTTAACTTACAAACTTGCTGGCAGTGGCAAGGGTTGTTATAGCTAGGAAATGGAAAAAGCAAGGTGGATATCAAATAGAAGAATGGTATAAAGAAGTATAGGATATAGCAATTAATGATCAATTAACATGTGCTATTAAAGAAGGGGGAAAGGGAAGATATTTGTGGAATTTGTATTGTTAAAATAGAAAGGGTTAAACCATTTCAAGAAGTGTTACATTTTGGAAAGTTTGATAATTATGATAAATAATGGTCTTAGGCTCAGCGTACACATTTTTATTTGTATTATTCTTATTTGTTAAAAGAAAGAAAGAAGATGCTCTTACCTCTTGTACTGATAAGAGATGTAGATCCCACCCTCCACACGCTTATAAAGCCAAATCATCTGCCCTCCAATGTTTCTCTGAGGAAAATAGAGACAACCTACTCAGCATCAGGAAGCTTCTCTCGCATTGGATCTCACAGCACACGTATACCTCATATTTGTCATACATTGATATTGATCACCTTGAGCCAATGGCAACCTCTGCACCTCACCTATCTCACAGGAATGCTGTAAAGAAAACATGTGCAAGGGAAGGGATCCACAGATAAATGGAACAAAATAAAATTTTAGTGTAAGCTGCCTTGAGTCCCTGTCAGGGAAAAAGGAGGAGGGGGAGGAGAATGGAAACAGAGAATGACCAGGAACATGCCAGAGAGCCTAGCCCACCCCCTTTCTTGTCTGTGTTTGTTTTTAAGATTCTCTGGAAGCTGCACCCACTACCATATTTGGGGGGGGGGGTTCTGGAACATAAGAAATTGCCTTCTACCAAGTCAGACCATTGACCCATCTACTACCGATGCGGTGTTGCAGATATTAAATATTGCAGTTTGAAGTGACTGGAAGCATAAAAACTGACTCCTTTAGAAGTGAAATATTGTCCAGACCCATAGAAATATTCAAACTTTAGCTGGCAGAACTTTCTTCAAAGCAGAATAAAAAAATTTAAAATATCCATGCAATATCTTGTGCTATCCAACACAGGCTCAGCATCTTACAAAATATGAAATGATCCAATCAGACCTATAAGCAAAGGTCTTTCTCTCCAGTCTCCTTTCCAGCCTCCAGGCTGTTTGATCTCCCGTCAGGAGAGCCATTTACTTGTGTTGTTCTTTGTGTACCACTCAGAGAGAAAACTCCATTTGCATCTTCACTCCCATTTGAGGCGAAGACTCAAAGGCAACTCCTTTTGAAGGGACAGGATACCCAAATCCTGTCTGTGAAATCACCCCAGGCTTCAATAATCACCCCAGGCCTCAAAACTGTCCAAAATTCCTTTCTCTCTCCTAAAATCCACAGCTACAGCTTTTCTGTGGATTCTCACAAGATGACTGTTCCAAAGGCAAAATGTTACTTTTAAAGGCTAATGAATAGCCTCTGTAATTGCCAAGAATACTCAGGCCTGAGAAACGAATCTTATCTCATTCGGTTGCAACATCTTTGGACATGCTGAACCACTCTCATTCCCCTTTCCTGGGAAGGGTGCCAAGAGTCCCAAGAGTCCCGGACTTCCGGGTTAGCGCCTCGGTAATGGCTGAACTCCTCTGATCGGGAGGAATTTCCTTCGTGGAAATTAGGGTCTGGCCGCCACGGCAAAGGCGGGGACCCACCAAAAAATCACAGGCGGGAGAAGCCTGTGAACGTGGGATTCGGCTGGCACCTTTTGCACCTCCCCTACTCGCGGGGAAACCCAGTTTCAGGGATCCGGAGCGACGGGTGAGTGGCGCGGTGCTTCGAATTGACTGATTCTTTCATGGAATGAAGCCGCATTGCTGTTGCCAGAGAGCGCTGACTTTTTCCTGTGGACAATTTGATCTTAAAACAACTACCTGTGAGTAGAACGGAAAATTGGATTTTTAAACGTCTTAATTTGGCACCGAAACGGGGAGGTTTCAAACAGGAAGTCCGCCTTCCCCTTTTGTATATAGACTGAAGCAAAGAGGCTGCAAGCTAAAGTTTTGGAAAGCCTTTCATAAAGGATTAAACTTCCAGCGGCTAAATCATCAAACCCCCCTTGGAAGCAGGAGAAGAGGGGGGAAATTTTAGATCGCGTAAGCCTGCAGGAGAGAGTGAAGAAAGTTAAATTACCACCGCTCTGAACCTGGAAACGGGCTGCCAGTAAGACTGAAGTTTTGGATATGCTCATTGACTGTGAATAGATCGTTTGTTGACAGTAAGTTAAAGAAGAGAAATACATTGTTTCCATTGTCTCCTTCTGCGTTTAAAAAGGAGTAAAAGTAATTGAAAATTGAAACTAACTTTATTGTTTGAACTGTGCTTAAAAGAATTGATACAAATAGAAATTGTTTCCCCCTAGAGGAAGCTTTTGAAACTGTTACATGAGCTGAGCTGGGGAAATTTCCACCTGCAAGATAAAACTGTGAGAATCTGGGATTGACCTTGGACCGTTAAGAATGTTGACAGAAGAAGCCTTAGTGGTTACATTATGTAAGATTAATGATTCACTGGAACAGCTCCATAAGAAGATGGATGCGAGGACTATAAAAATTGATAACTTGGAACAAAAAGTGACTAATTTGGGACAAAAAGTGAATATTAATACAGAAATTACTCAGGAATCGATACAGGGATCTATTTTGACATGGCAAATTGAGGAGAAGGCGGGGGAGAAAGTGGTAGTTGCGGAACCTAAAGCTGCACAAGTGGAGAGGGAGAGAGCCCCAGCCTTACAGATGCAATTTGATGACTATAAGTTGATGCCTTTTAAGACTGAATTTAGTGAAAGTCAGACTTTGAGGATTGGAGCCCCGCTTGGACTGAAGAAGGAAAGTTGGATAGATCCCTTCATGCAGGTATTTATTGACCTTTGGTACCTGGACTTGGGTCAGGAGGAGACGAGTTGTGG